TGTTTAAAATTTTTTTCTCATCGATTTTCATTTCATTTGATAATTTAAATTTTATCTATTCTCATTCATTTTTCCCTCTAAAAAACCACCAATTTTTATTTTTCATAATTTCATCTATTTTTCCAATTATTAATCATAGTTCTTTCAAATTTATTTCCTTATTTTCTATAATGTCTTTTGAATTCAAATATTATTCTGCCATTTTTTTTTTAAAGTTCATCCGTTGATTTGAAAATTTTTTTTTTTTAATATTAAAAAATCATGACACTTAGTGTTGTTCTTAATAAAAATTTAGAATCATTAACCTCGTAGATTTTCGTATCTGAGAAAAAAAACCAGCGATAAGATTTCTCTGAAATTGAGATCATTACTGTTGTCAGAATAATTAATAATATATAGTTACATACGAAAAATGAATTCCAATTGATTATGTAAATATTTATATAAATTAATATATAAATGAAATAGTGTTTGCGAGAATAAAAAAAAAAAACAGAAAAAGTTGTCACTTATCTTTCTCGTATAAACATTTGTAAATCTACTCGCGTTGAAAAATTGATTTTTCTAAAATTGGAGTAAGAGGAAAAAGTGCGTTTGGTAAATTGCCAGTCACCTGAAAATTGAAATTTCTCATGAAATGATAAATTTACTACGCAAACGATCGAGAACACTAAATAAAAATACTTATATCAGAAGGAAACAACGTCAAAATTAAAAAATCACTTTCATGTTACAACATCGAAATAACATCAGAATTTTTCGGTATATTATCACTCATAGAGGACCGCTCTTTTTTTTTTTTTTTTTTTTTTTTTATTTTCTTCTTTCCAAGAACTGTTTGTTGCGTCAGTTTTTTAACTGCAAGATTTCAGCAATGGATCTTTCTTTAAAATAAAGTATTCGTGCTATAAATTTTTTTTTAAAACTTTTTTTAATTCAAATCTAGTCTTGTATTTAAAAAAAAAATTGCTTTTTATTATTATTTATTCAATAAATAATTGTTTTGATTTAATTTTTGATTGTGTGTTGATTTCATTGTTTTTTTTTTTTTTTTTTTTTTTTGTCTTGAGACTGAGTTATCCTCATCGTTAAAACCTGACTATCAGACTAACTAAAAATGTAAACGTTGATTCCGCTTATATCTTCTCAATAGTAACAGTGGACCAGGTCACTTTTGATAATGTTGTGCATGAACGTATACACAATCTTTTGTTTCTTTTTGTTTTTAACAATTTGTTTATAACCGACGAGTACAGATTTCTACACGAATAAACATTAAATAATACAAAATACGATTTCATTCAAATCTTATGAGATTTAATTAATTTCAATGGAAATTTTTTTTATTTTTTTTCAGAAAAATTTATATTTACTTTATATTATTCAATTATTTTCTAATATTTGACAATTAAAATAATTTATACTAATAAATTTATTATTTTATAATAAAAATAAATAAAAAAAAAAATAAAAATATTTGTTTGACAGAAATAATACTACTGACGTATTTATTGATTAATAAACAATAAATGTGCTTAGCTAATGAAAAAAATGAAATGTTTTTGTAATTTTGTTATTTTTCAGTAGCGAATAAAAATTAAAAAAAAAAAAAGAATTTCCAAAAAGAAATTTGTGAATTTGAATGGCGAATAAATTAATAAAATATTAACTGAAGTAGTAAATGAGTATTTCAACAGAATGAGAATTTATTAATGAATCATGGATACGCAAGAGTAAAGTAATATATCGTTCAAAGCTTATCTACCCTAAATTTACAGATTTGTCATTCTTCAATTTAGAAATATTCCTCCTTCCTCTTAACTTTTTCCGAATTAATGATAATTTGTAAAGTGCGATAAACCTGTTGCATTTCGCATGCAAAATTTCATCATTTTTTTTTTTTAATTTTTAAAAAAGTTCACAATTTAAAGTATAATTTGTAATCAAGCTCAAATATAAATGTTTATTTATTATTTTTTTTTGTCTAAAATATTTTAAATATATTTTTGAAAAAAAAAAGATTTTTTAACCTAATCAAAAAAGAGCTTTTATTATAGTTAATCTATTGTCAATATTTTAATCCCGTTACACTTTGAATATTTCTTACAACTTTCTAAAATTAAAAATTTCTATATTTAAAAAATTTTTCAATTTCAATCCTTTTTTAAATGAATAGTAAAGAAATCATTAATTATTTTAACGGAAGAATTAGGAAATCATTTTATCTAACTTCATTAGAAAAATGTAATGATGTAAAGAATGATGAGTTTTATTATAAGAGAGGAAGTATAAGATTGATAGTCTGATATATTTTAGTTTATGGAATGAACTTTTAAATATGTTAATAATGTAGATAAATATTGATACACGTGTGGCCCTTTGCTCATATAATGAGTACTAAATGTCTGATAAAATATATTTCACATAATAAAATAATATTCTCATATATTAAAAAGATTATTAAAAAAAATACTAAGTGAGTGACTAATATATTAATAAAAGCAGTATAAAGCTATAGTTTTCTATAAAAAAAAAAAAAAATTTCCCCTATACAAAAAGAAAAGACGCAATAAAAATAATCCATCTCGAGAGTTTCATTCACTTTGATGAATTTACTGATAATAAAATAACACAAGCCAAACTATTAGAACAAATTTTTGCAAATAATTATTTTTTTAAAAAAATGTTTATTTATCATCTCTTCAAGAATTTAATTGCTCGTAATAACTCTTACATTTAATTAAAAGAAAAACTAACTAAAATTTACAAAATGGAAAATAATATTATTAGTGTACAAATATTTTAACCATTACGAACATTTTCTATTTTAATTTAATTTAATTATAATTTTATATTTTTAAACAATAAATATAATAATACATATATATATATTGTTTGTAAATAAAAAGTTTTTATTATTTAGAAATTTAAAATAAAGAAAAATCAAAAGTCGTAAAAGAATTTCCGACAATAATTTAATTAAATTTCAATATAATTGCATTTTTTAAAATTTGTAAATTTTTATAACTCAGATCAAAGAAGAGAGTAATGATATCATTTCTATATTAAAGACGAGTTACAAAATTCTTGTTTAGATTCTTATTTTTTAAGAATAATGAGAAATTCAATTTTTAGCTCACGTATCAATTATCGTGTATCAAAGAAAAAAAAAAAGAGAATACACTAATTAACAGGTGAAAAAGTAATGAGAAAACATGAGGTAAATGAGAGAAAAAGGAATGTTGATGATCTCTAGGAGTCTGGTGCCAAGCTGGCTGCACGCGAAGGGGCTCGTCATCAGCATCAGCAAATTTTCTTGTTTAAGTGGGGGCGTCAAGTTTATAAGACACGAGAGTCGTCTTCTTGGGCCAATAGTCGCGAAACATTTATTCAACAGTTGTAAAATTTTTTTTCCAATCTTTTTTTTTTTGATACAAGTAATATCGTCAAATCAAAGAAGACACAAGTGTTGGGGAAAAAAAAGTTTCGTTCGTACCCGCAAAAAAAAAGTTTAAACAAAAATATTGCCTACTGGATAAATAAATAAAAAAAAAAACATTCAATTATTGTGTACAACAATTTTAAAAATACGATTTTTTCAAAAAAAGGTTTTTGTCAATTAGTTTTTTAAAAGACGTTAAATAACCGGCTGAGATATGACTTAAATATCGAAATCAGTGTTTTAACCTCTTAGAGAAGACTGTTTGAAATTATATGAAAATATATTGTTTAGTGCCAAGTTTTCATTGATTATTTAATTAACTATTATTTCATCGATTTTATAAGGACAATTTCAAGATTTTCCACTGCAGTTTGTTTAAAATCAAAAAAAAAACGTAAGTTGATAAAACTAATTTTTCATTTAAATCATAAATTGAGATTAAATATTAATGAATTGAAAAGAAAAACTTTTATTCTAAGAATTTTATGTCATATAAATTTTTAAACAAAATTTTATTAAATAAATATTTTTAATTATATAAATAATTAAAAATATATTAAAAAATTACTTGAATTAAAAAATATTTTAATACATTACAAAATTGCACAGAAAAATTAAATCCATTGGATTTTTTACTATTGAATTTATTTACTCGAGAGAGAAAGATACTCTGTATGAAGTTTTCTTTGCACGGTTTTTTGCTTTTTCTTTTTCTATAATAAATTAACAGATAACCCTGCAAAAATCTTTACAAACGTGATACCCACGAATCTACCAGACAAACTTGATTAATGAATGTTTTTATTATATCGCATATTTACTTGCCATTAAGGCAATAGCCCTTGCTAATACATTTCAAAAATTTAAATTTTACAGACGATTTTAGGCCCTGAAATTTCAAATTTAATAAACCTTTTTTATTCATAATTTAATTATTTTTAAAATGAACAATTTCTGTTTTGTTAATAGTAAATAAAGAAGATCCCAAAATATTTTGAAGTTCATTTATAAATATAAGATTATTAAGAAACAATTAACGTCGCGAGTAAATTCATTTATCACACGGAAAATGACAAGAAACCCATTAATGTCGCGATTACAAAGAAAATATTTCGTATATTATAGTTATGCGAGCGCCATGCGCTATGTCTGACAATGATTCATTCTGGTTTATTCCTCTTTACTGGTCGCGCATTGATAAAAGAGTGCAAATCAATTGTTTCACATTGTTTCATAGTAATTCTAGACAATTTCCAATCTACTGCCTCTCAAGTTTCATCGTAAAAAGAAAAAAAAAGAAACAAATTCTTTCAGAAAATTTTTAACTAACAATTACTTTTTAATAATTATAATTTTGAAAACAAAACAAAAAACGAATTTTTTTATTATTAACATTTTGTTTCACTTTCTTTTCCTGAGTTGATTATAAAAAAAAAAAAAAAAAATTGATAGAGAACCCTCGACCGACTTTGATTTTTCTCAGAAAATTCTGAGTAAATAATGAGTTAACGAACTTATGAGATAATTTAATAGTATTAAAATATAATTAAAATCTTACCTCCTGTGGAACCTTTAGTGAACATTCTTTTCACGATGGCAGTTTTTTCAGTGTATGCACTAACCTCGGTAATGGCAAAACAAACTCGTCGAAATTCACGAAACATATCGTCCTTAGATGGCTTTTTCTCATCATTTGATTTGTCAATGATTTTTGTTTTTTTCTCCTTTTCAACTTTTGGTGACGTTACTTTCATCGGAGTTTTAATATTTGGCTTTTTTTCATTCGAAACCTTTTGTTGTTTAGATCCCTTGAAAGGCGCTATATTAAAAAAACGAAAAAAATTAGTAATTACATTTTTTTTCAAATAAAATAAAAAAAAAGAGAGAAGCAAATTTTGCGATTTTAAATTTAGGTTGTCTATTTTAAAAATGCTTTTTGTAGGAAAATTTTAAGAAAAATGAATATCTATCGCCTAAGGAATATCTTAAGTCCCATAAAACACGAGACGCATGCGGAAATGTAACCCGAAAACGAGTTGTTGAATAAGTGAACTTTCTAAGAATAGCAAGTTTTGCGCATTAGCGAAATATATATTCTGATGATGAGAAATTTTGAGTGAAAGTCACACGTGGGCCTCGAACATTCAGTTGTTATAATATGACTAAATAAATAGATATAGTTAGAAGAGTTAGAAAAATCAACTAAAAAAATTCTTATCTCTTTTAATCAGCATCGAGTTCTTTGACTTTAGAATTAAACAGAAAATTTTTTCTTCCTCCTATTTAAATATTATATATACTATTGAAAATTTATCAAAATATTTTACCTTTCGTATTAAATATTTTAAATATTTCATAAAAAATACTTTTTTTACATTTAAATTAAAACTTTAAAAAATTATCGACTTTTAGTGGTATAAATTTTGTTATTTTAAAAGATTTAAAAAAAATAAGAGAAATAATTACTATTTTTGTTAAATTCCTCGAGTTTCTCAAGGACAATGTTCCTGTCTTCTTCGTCAAGTTCATTCCAACCGCTTATATCTTCCTCAGGATCGTCAATTCTTTTTGTAGTCGCTCTCTGTTTGGCGAAAACTTCAAACAAACAATTTATGTGATGCCAACTTTTCATAGTTCCATCACCAAAAGGATTTTTCATAATTTTCGCAAGTCTAACACAATCTTTATCAATTGGACATTTGCATTTTTTGCATTTGGCTCTGCCTGTTTTTGCTCGTTCCACTGCGAATGGTTTTTGCAATTCTTCTTCAAAATCTTCGTCTGCCATTATCTAAAAGAAAAAAGAAAAACATTCATAATTAATTACTATATAAAAATTGCAATAATTAAATAATCTACATTGCAAATTAGTAAACCAGGTTAGTTAATTGAAAAATTCGCTAATAAACTAACTAGTAAACCATTTAAGCTAATTAAGTAGATAATGAAGTAAACAATTTTTCTCACTATCAAATATTAATAACTTCCGGAAAAAAAATAGTTCCAGAAAGAAATCATTCCAAACGATAACTTTTAATCAATAATTATATAAAAATAAATTTTCATTCATGGAAGATTTGGCGACAAATTAAAATATTAACGGTCGTAGGTTACAAAAAAAAGTTCCAATATGTTTGTCCAATGGAACAATACTAACAATAATCGTTACTAATAGCAAGTGTGATAAGTCGATATCGACTTATCATGAACTTGAAATTTATTAACAAGAAAAAAGGAAATTAACTTAAAGATTTCAAATTAGAAATAAAAATATACTTATATATAAACTATAAAATGATATTAAATAACAAGACATGTTTTTTAATTATAATTATTATTATTGTGATGTAATAATTAAAAAAAAAAAAGTTTATGATTTTAATTAATTCGAACACATTTGTAATAATGTTTGTCTTGGAAAAATTAAGTGAAAAACACTAATTTTTGTGTGTGTGTTCTCATTCTCATCAATAAATTACTACGCAATTGATACCTCAACACAACAAACATGAGAGTATCATCTCTGTTGTGACGCATTTCATTGATCACAATTAATATCATAAGAAAAAATGAAAGTGTAGATTTTACTCTAAAGCAGGGAGGAGCATGAGATAAAATAAATTCCGATTGACTTCTAAACAATTAATCAAAAGAGTATACCTTTATTTTTAAAAGTAATTCAAATTCTAAGGATTTCAAATTTTGAAAAAAAAATTTTAATTTTTTTTTTTTTAATTGATAATAATTTTTAATAAATTACAATCATATTTTAAGTTTTCTAACGAGATTTTTTTACACAAATTACTATTGTCACTGCAAATTCAATTTTTACTTTCTCGAAAAAATCTTGTTGCAAAAAAAAAGAAAAAAAAATGCTAATTAAATTTTAAGAAAGAAATCTCGTTAAAAAAATTAATTCGAATTCAAGAAGGAACTTTTAAATATTTTATTGTAAACTATAAAATTTAATTTTTAATTAATTTACAGTTTAATTTAATTATTTTTATAAAATCCATGTAACCTTTATATTTACAAGTTTTTTTTTTATTTTTCAAATTTAAAGATAAAAAAAATATTTATTTAATTTACAAAAAATAGCGAAAAAAAGGAGAATTTTAAAGAACATAATAAAATGTTGAAAATTAACGTCCTTACACTATATGAATATAAGACAAAATCAAATGTCTGACTGAATGTTGGTTTACACTACTTCGTGATTGCTCATTTAAAATATTTGATTTTCAAAGAATGAAATAATATTTCAAATACTAATAATAATAATAATAATAATAATAATAATAATAATAATATTATTATTTTTGTCACGTTTTTTATGAATGTCTTATTATCATCGACAGATACAACTGACATTTATTTTCCACGCAGATTAATTAATTAGAAAAATTGTGATTCGAAGAAACGGTCTTAAGTCCATTATTGTATATTGATAATAGAAAAAAAGTGTAATAACATTATTTGCAATCAGAATAATAAAAAATTCACTAAAACGATTATTTTCATTTAAATAATAATTTATTAAATTATTCGACAAATTACTCATGAGTTTATATTGGCATTTTCTTAAAATTTATTTACAGTATTGTCTATCGTACTTGATGAATTTTCTGTAGGAGTGATAGTATTTTATTAAAAAAAGAAAAAACAATAATGGTAGATAGGTATGATTTTATGTGTTAAAAAAAAATTGAAAAAGAAATGCACATTCTATCAATATTACGTCTGTTGGATAATTTATGAGGTTTTCCTTGAGCTGAAAAAAAAGAAAAAACAAAAAAAAAAAAAAAAAAGTTGTTAAATGGCTACGAATCACTGGATATGGCGTTAGTGGAACAAATTATATTGTTGATAACTGCAATGAACGACTCGTATGAAATATTTGAAATTTCATCAATGAAAGTTAAAAATCAGATAAGATATTTTCGAAAATAAATTCACAAAATTAAAAAATTAAATTACTTAAAATTTTCGCTAAAAATTGATTATTTATTATTTCAAAATAAAATGATATTTCATAATAAATTTTCCAACATATATATATATTTTTTTCTCGATTTGACTAAAATAATAGAAAAGTAAATATATCATTCACAATTAATTGGTTTATTTTTCATGTTGCTATTTTAACATTAGATAAATAATGTAGAAATAAATAAAAAAAGAATGTAAAATTATAGAAACACGCGATGAAATATTATGACACGTGTGAGAAAGAGTTGATAGTCCCTCGAGTCTTGATTTTATGTAGGTGGGTTTTTTTTTTTCTTTTTTGGTGGTTATACGGCACACCACCCTTTAATGAACGTTCCTACAGGTGGTAGGAGAATATATAAACGAGAGGTGGAAATTCTCGGGGTATAAGAGGAACTATCAACCCTCTCTGCTCATTCTTTAGACTTACAGCATTCCAAAAAGTCTCATCTTAAAAATTTATTTTAAATACAATTTTAAATTAAAACAATTAATGTTTTAGTGAATAAATAATATATAATTACTAATTATTTTAATTCTCTGGATTTTCCAAAAGGTAGGAACAATCAAAATAACAAAAATTTTATTTGTTTCATTAATTTAATAGGGAATTAGAAATTTCTGGAATTATGTGATTTATAAAGTGCCGCATCTGGAGTATTTAAGCCATATACTTGTAAAAAAAAAGGAAAAATTCTTATTTAATATTTACAAGAATGTTTGTTAAATAATACAGTATATATTTTATTAAAATTTTATTAAATAAAAGTGATTCAAATATTTGTGTTGTGATAATTGGTGAATAGAAAAATTCTATTTGAAAAATAAAACTTATAGTGAAAAAAAGTGTTAAAAACAGACGTACACTATAAAATTATAATAAAATATTTAATATTATATTATAATAATACAAGAGAAAATATTACGACAGAAAAAAATTAAATTAAATAAAAATTTTAAAAAAATTTTATATAAAATAATAAAATATAAAATTAATATAATAATAAAAATAATAATTAATAACCTATAAAATTAAAGTTTTTAAAAAGATAAAAATATATTTACAAATATATTCATAATAAATTTTATGTTGTATATATATATATATATAAATTTTATTCGTTTCTTATTAATTATTTACAAATTTCAAATTTCAATCGATGAATTTCTAGAAACTTCATATACGTAACTTTCTAATAACAATTAGGAAGCGAAATAAAAGAATATTATATTAGGTGTCTTTTTGTTCAATATTTCACTAAAGTGAATACAAAGAGGCCTCAATACAAAATGACATCCAAGTCGTTATACTTGGATAAAAATAACATCAAACAAAAGACACAAAAACTTTTAAAAGTTATCAGGAATATTCGTTATTAGACTCGTAAAAAAATATATTAAATAGTTGAGTTTAATGTTAGATGGGCGTGAGGATGAAGTAAAAAAACCTTTTTCTTTTTTAAAAATAATAACAAAGGATCAATATAATTTCAAAAATTAATAGAATCATATATATTGTTCACAATTCTTTTTTTTAATTTCTTTTAGTTTTCAATAAATAATAAATGTAATAACTTTTCCATTAAATTCAATATTATTAAAATCATCAACTGTTTTAATTGATTTATTATTTATTTAATAAAAAAAACATATCTTAACTTTATGAAAAATTAAATTTTACAATTAATTAACGAGAAAGAAATTATTAAATTTGAATAAATATAGTAGATGTCTAATAATTTAAATATATTTAAGAATAAATATTTAAAATTATTTTTATTTTATTAAACAGGTCTAAATTTTTTTTTTTCGATTCCACTTAAATACAGATGAATTATTAACAGAACAATTCGAATAAAATAAAAGAATGACTTCAAAAGTTTTACCAATTCTTTAAAACTCTCACGTATTCGAGATTAAGATTCGAGATCGTTGACTTTATCAATACATAATTTATAGAACTTTATTTGTGAAAGAAAAATCTTCAAAAATCAAGATCATATATAAAGATAGAAAAGTCTCAGATGAACAGAAAAGTTAGAAATTTTTCTTAATATGTAATTTATAAATTATTTGAAACCATAAATTGATGATTAAAAAATAGTAATGATTTATTTATTTATTTGAAAAAAAGCAAAGCAAGCATGATAACGTTTTTAAATATTATAAAATTCAGCTTACATTCAAATAAAATTGAATTTCATATTTCGACAACTATTTCAAAATACATTTTTGAATAGAAAATATTTTTATTCTCCAAAAACTTTTTTTGTAAAAAAAAATCTTATACTTTATATTGATTAATCTATATAAAGTTCATATTTTAGTATGCACTTAAATTTATAGATAAAATAGTTGTTTATAAGCTTTTTAAAAAAATTGAAATATTTTTACTTTTTTTTGATATAATTTTGTTGTTGTTAATATTTTCTACTAATTCTTGTAAAATGTATATTCTCTACATAAAAACGAATCGTTTGATCCATTTAAAATAAACATTTTATTTAAATTTATGCAATGAATTGTTATTTTTAATTTTTAAAAAATTATTCAAATTTTTCTCTTTCTTTTTTTTTTTTAATAAGAATGGCTAAAAATTTAAATGCGACAACTAAAAGGACGTAAAATGTTTATAAAAATAAACATAATCCTTCAATTATGAATAGTGAAAGATCCCCTCCCTTTCAAGTTTATACCTTCTTTATAACTTTTTAATCCATTCGCTAAAATGCCATTCCTCTTTACCCTTTTATAAATGACGTTCATATGTTAGTTTAATTAATAAAATAAATAAAAAAAATATATATCTCTATTATATAGAAAAATTTGACTAATTCAGATATATAAAATTTATTAATTATAAATAATTAACTCACTACACAAGTTTTCTTAAATATTTTGCTGTTTATATTTCACTAATTTAACTAAATTTTTTTATGAGTATATTATTTTTGTTATAAAAAAGAACATATAAACAAAAGGAAATGAAAATAAAAATAATTGATATAACAAGGTATATATGGAGAAATAAATAAATAAAAAAAATATTACATGTAGAAATACATGTATAGAGAATAAATTTAGAGAGATAACGGAAAATAATTATTTATATGTATTCTGATAATTTAATAATTATTATTTTTAATATTACTTTAATTATATAAAAAATTAGAAACAAAAAATGAAATTTTAAATATAAAGGACTTGAAATTTCCTTTTTTTTTAAAAAAAAGTTTTTCTATTGACCATTGATAATTGTTAAATTATTTATTTGTACTATAAATAAAAATGTTTGAAAGAAAGAAATAAATTTTTTCTAATGTTATAAAAATATTGATAACTTTTTTTTTCACTAACCGATTGATGTTGACTTATTTTTTATTATGTTTCAGTGCTCATACGTAACGAGGTAATGAAGGGAAGAATCTACGAAAGTAGGACAGGTCTGTGTCTTCTGGCACTATTCGTGTCCTTTTTAATTGACTATCATCCTGTCATCGCTAAACCAGAACCAGCCTCTTTTGATATTGAAGATACAGAGGAACTGGTAAATATTTCCTTTCACCTAAAATGCAAAAATATTCATTCATTATTATATCTTACTTGAAAATAAAATATCTAAAAAAAACATCATTTTCATTTTACTGATTGTTGAAAAATTTTCGAAATTATTAAATTTGTTTACTATTAAAATTATTATTCAAATTTTAAACAAGTATATATTAATATTATTAATATGTAAAATAAAAATTATTTATTTTGTAAAAGAAAATTATTTTCTTTTAAGGTGCTTCTTCAAAGGTTGAGGACTATTGTGAGGCATAAACAGGAAGTGATTGATCAGGAAAAAGAACTTACAGAAGAACAAATTGCCATTCAAGCAATACTTGATGATAAAGCTCGAAATCAAAAAGATCATCAAACAATGTTGGAAGAATTCTCCATGGAGGATACAGAGACACTTCCTGTTCCCAGTGCAATATTTAATCCACCTCAACACAATGGAAAACGTACCTGTAAGTAAATTATATTCCTTTAAAAAAAAAAAAAATAAAATTTATATTAAATTATTTTAATTATATTAAAAGATCTTTTAAAATCAAAGTTAAAAATTTTAAATTTAAACAATATAAAGTTGACTGCTACATATTAATAATTCAAATTTACTCGCAATTCCAGACTTTACAAATATTTAATATTTATATGTCAAATTTCGTTTAATAAATATTGCAAATATTTATATGAATTATAATAAATCACGATAAAAATAGAAACATTTATTATTCTTCAAAAAAAGATTAGTTTTATTTAGTATTTAAAAACAAAAATATATAAGAATTAATTAAATTAGGAATTCATGAAAATGTGAATAAAAAATAATTAAATATTCTTACGATTGATTCTCTATAATAAATTCTTGTGTTTTGAGAATAAGAAAATTTATCGATTTTCAATTACATAAATCACTGAATAAGCTAGAGAAACATTATTAAAAGTTTGATAGGATAGAAATATAAAACGATCTAGGCAATTATATCAATTGACATATCAAACACCTTTTATCGTGACGTCAGGATCTCGCAGATCAATTTGACTCTTTTGTATCACAAATATAAAAAGAATGTCGCAAACTTTATTGAGCTTTCGATTGTCTCTATCAAATTATAAAGTCTCTCGGCTATTGGCGCCAGAGAGCCGATATACAGCATCTCTCCTTATTAAGATGTACATTAAACAATTTATTTAATTCGAAAAAACAAAAGTGTCATACATTTTCGAAAAAGAAAAACAATTCAAAAAAAAAGAAATATAATATTTTTAATTTATCCAATAAAAATAACAATATAAAAAAAATTGATAAATATTTAAAAATATTAAGTTTTTAATTTGAAAAAATAAAATAAAAATTGCTCGTGTTTAATTTATAATTCTTTAACTTATATCAATATAAATAAAAAAAAAAAAAATAAGACTAGAAATATATATTATATTAAAATATTTAATTTATATGAAACTAAATTCTAAAACAAAATATAGAAAGAAAATATTTTCTAACTAAATTTCTGCATTGATTATAAATTGAAGTTTAATTCGAAGTCACAATAAAGTTAGAATTAATTTATTCGAAACGAAGAAATAATATAATTATATGCTTTTATAATTTGATTGTCAAGATTTGTAGCAGACAATTTTTAATTTGAAAAATTGACCTTTAAAGAACACCATGATAAATATATGACAATAGTATGTACGTTTGTTTCAGATATGACTTTATGTCACTTCAAGATCTGCAATATGGGTCGAAAACGACAGATATAAAAAACAGCGATTTTTTCTTAATGCATTGACTTTCAATAATTCAAAAATCAATTCGAGAAAAAAACCACACGAAAATGTGGGATAAGTTACAGCAAAATTTTCTTAAAAAAAAAAGAAAAAAAATGATGATGATGATGATGATATTTAAAGAGAACGAATTATTGTGAATTTAACCTTTAAAAATCAGTTCGTAAAACAGAAATTTTTTCTCATTAAAGTGAAATTATTTTTCTGTCGTTTGACATTTTTTTTTTTTTTTTTTTTTTAAACTCTCATCGAATATTAAATTTTTAATTTAAAAATAAGTCTACGAATTTTGAGATTGAATTTTCTACTGGAGACCTTGTAAGGAAAAATTTTGGTAAAGAAAAATTATATATATTAGAAGAAATGTAGTAACATAAAATTATTTTTTTTTACTTAATTTTTAAATTTCAATTAAAAAAGAATAATGTTACTTTTTCCTACAAGGTCTTCATTTTCTGTTAATGAATTCAATAAATTTTGTATCATTTCTATTGTGGCCAGAAGATTATCGACATCAGCACAAAGCTAGGCTATTTCACCTGTAAAATTTCATGAAAAATTAATGATAAATAATTAAATCAAAATATTTTAAAGACAACCAAAAGTCTCTTATTTAATCCAAATCTTGTGTATGATTACAAATATATATATATATAACTGATGAGTTGTCACAAACTTTGTGCGGATGGTCAGAACTTCTGTCAAAAGAATTACAAAAAAAAAAAAAAAAAAAAAAATGTTTTATATTCGTGAGAAAGTTATATTCAAAACTACAAAAGAAGGTACAACCAAGTGAAAGACATTATTTATAAAAAAAAAAAAAAAATCTGCTTAACGAAAAAACATGTAAATGACCAGAGTTGTGTTAATATGTCAAGACTCGGAATAAGCAAATAACTCTTGACAATACTGAATCTAGTATTTCACAGTATGTTCGAATATAAAGAAATTGTTTTCGACAATATTTTTTTTTTTTCGTTTTGAAAAATCGAGAACAAAGTCTTTAAAATTTGACGCATCGATGTTAGTCTATCTCTCGAATTTTAATTTATTCTCTAGATGTAGTTTTGGAGGGTGCAATGGCAGAGATCGATATTCAGTGGTATTATAGAGATTCATATATACCAAAGAAATATCAATATTTTCAAGCAGAGAATTAGAAGAAAAAAAACAAAAAAAAAAAAAAATTAACAATATTAAACAGAACGCAAGGCTCTCATGCCTTGAGACTGAAGACGATGCACAAAGTGCGGATATGAATTTTTAGCCGAGTTGAAAATCAAACAAAAACATTTTATTTTTTGTGAAAGTGTATTTTTTATTAATGAATGAATAAATGAATGAATGAGAAAATGAAGAGTATGAATGCCAGCATCCTTCGTTAACTTATTTAGATTATTATATATATATATTAAGAAAAAATATGTCGTTATAGTGATATTCCGTCGGTTTTTTTTTAATATACAAAAATTTATTTATTTACTTTCTATATTATTTATGAAAATTTCTAAATTTCCACTCTATAAATAATTTCTCATTCCTGAAAACAAATTTTTGTAATTAAAAAAAATTCTAAAATCTTTACAAATTAACGAAAAAAGTTATATATCTATTATATTTAAAAAATACCCACTAATTCATTGTTTGAAATATCAAAAAATTCAAAATATTTAATTTCTAATTCAAATTTATTATAAGAATATCCATTGACACGTACTTACAAGAGAAAATATAAATAATATTAATAATAGAAACTCATGTCTTGTACCTGTAAAATTTGTGACTAATTGTACATTAAATATATTCATGAAAACATGTATCAATTTCATTGTAAAAATAAAAAAAGAAAAAAATCCATTACAATAAATCTATACATCATTAAGCTTAAAAAAATATATTCACTTAATTTATTGTAAATGAATATTGAAATTAAGAATATTATATTTCTATGAAATATTGACGTAAATTTTGTAAGAATAAACATTATTTTTTAAAAAAAAAGTTATTTGCGAACGTTCACGCATATGAAGTCACGCAATTTTTCCAAATTTTGGACCCCCCCCCCCCAAACCCTAGAGCATGATATTACTATCAATATACAAAAAATTATAATAAAATTATACCTACTTTAATAAATTTAATAATGAACCTAAAAAAACAATAAATGACATAAATTAATAGATAAAAGAATAAAGAAAAAAAAACATTAAATTTAACGCGGCTAAATATTTAGAAAGTGTCTTGAAGTTGACCCTATAGACCTAATGATCAAGCAGGTATAACAAATTAACGTTGAAAAATGTCACCACGTGTCGAGATAACACATGAAGATTATTTGTGATAATCAGTTGATAAATAAATAACTTTCCATAATAAATTTTGTATACTTATACTTAATACAAAAAAAAAGTAGTTAACGTTATATTTACTGAGTACTATATTTCCTATGCAAATTTTTTCTAAGAAATAAAAACCACATATAAGCCATAGGGAAACTAACCTCAAAATTTATATTTTTAAATTACATAAATCGGAAAGTACTTACTTTTTATATAATATTTTTCACTTAAAATTTAAATACATCTTTCATTGGCAATAGTTTTTAATTTATTTATCACCATCGAATGTCATCTCTAAACAAAACATATTAAAATTTTATCACGAATATACAATATACCGTATTTACGTCGAACACGACCTGTCAAAAATTTATGTCGGTATAGAAGATATCTTCTATAATATGAAATATAACAAATTTTTAAATTTATTTTTATTATTTTAAAAGTATTTTTTTGTATTTATTTATATGTATTTATTTAATATATTATTATTATTATATTTGTAATATTGTATTGTAATAATAATTACATTCAATGATAAATAAAACTTTTAGTTTTTCATATTTATTATTAAAAATAAAAGACATTACCTCTGTAATAAATAATATAAACAATTTAGAAATCATTTAAAATATATCTTTAATTTTTTAAATCCAAAAGAATCGGTCATTAGAATTTGAAAATTATTTTAAAAATTTGTGATTATTATAAATTAATATGTATAAATAAATATTATAAGAGGAGTTAGTTTAAATTAAAAAAAATTATTCTTACCATAGAAGGAATTGCCATAATACAGGTGGATTGAAATAATAAATAGAGCAAAAATAGAATTATTTGAAAATTTAATTTTCTTGTAAATAGACGAATTTTCCAAAATTAATAAATAGGTATACTTATGGAAAATGTTGAAATTTTCTTTTAAAAAAAAAAAATAAATAAATAAAAAAATAATTCACTCTTTTTGAGCGAGTTTTTGAGTAAATTGAAATGTTTCATTACACCCCCAGTTTCCCCTATCAAAGTATAGCTGCAAAGAGTAGTTTAATTTTTTTTTAAATTAGTCTGCAACGCGACGTTGGTCGAAATATATTACGGAAATTTTTCTCATTTCATTCGTTAATTATCCTAATTTTTTATTAAAAAAAAAAATTATTCTTACACAAACAAATAATCTAAAGTATTTGTAACCAATATAAATGAAAAAATGTTTAAGCAGTTGTCGTCATTTGATGTACAAATATTTATAAAGTTGATGACACGTTTTCCACTATAGTAGCAAATATATAAAATGTTTTGATATTATCTACATACTAGAAGTTGTATTTCAGGATATTTCTAATATAACTATAATGATTTTTAAAATCTATTTTTATAAAATTACAAAATAAATTACTGTTTTAAATATATTTTATTTATTTTAAATAAATTTTATTATTTTATCGTGTTTTTAAAATTTTTAAATAAAAGGAAAATTCGTCTATTTAAAGAGATTAAGATTCTTTGAATTCTTTTCAATTATAATCGATATTTTTTTTATCTCAAATTCAATTCTAACTTATTTCATTTTTTTTCATTATTACGTCAACATATATTTAAACATTGAATCATTTTAACGTCATGTTAATTAAAATGAATATTATTTTTTTAGAATAAATATCATTCACACGTTATAAGTTTTGTTCTTATGATGAAAGAAATCGATTCAATTCATACGCAATTAATTTCATATCATATACTTAATGAAATAATTTTAATTCCTTATCTACACCTAGAGAAATTTTTTATTAAAATAAAGTGTAATGTGTGTAATTAAATTAAATTGATAATATATTTGTCTCAGAAGTAAGTAATAATTTATTTGTTATAAATAAATGTTTTTTAGCATAAAGAAAAAATTTTATTTTGGAGAAAGTAACAAATTTTATTCGAAAAAAATAAATATTTCTTAGCATCTAGGACAAAAAAGATTAACTTTATTTATTTTATTAAAACTTTATTAATGTTATTGCTTTTTAAAATTAACTTGGGGCTGATAACTTGGTGCCAGTTTCAGTTTCATTTTTTTTTCTCTTAGTGAATGAAATCAATATTGTAAATATTTTAATTCTTCGAAATTAAAGTAGATTTAAATAAAGTAATTAAATTAAATTAAAATTAAATTAGAAAAGAAAATTGAAATATAGGTTGTATAATAAAAAAACTTTTTGAATTAACTACAATGAAGATCTACAAGAAAATATCTACATACTTTATACTTTGAGTAAGATAGAATTACATGTTGACTATTGCATTGCGATTATTAACTTTAGATACAAATAAATCTATTACATTTTTTACTTCTATTATTTTAGAGTTTATATTTATTTAAGTTTATTTTTATTATTATTAATTTCTTTATAATTTTATATTTAATTTAATTATACTATTTGAACGAAAGGGCATTTTTTCGTTTTGTTTTTTGTAAGTCCGTGTATTAGTTAAGTAAATAAAAAAATCAAAGTTGAAATATACGTGTAGCAGGTGAAACTAAAACAATATAATTAAAAGAAAATTAAATAAAGTGATGTTAATGATTTTTTAATGACGAGAAATACAATGTATATGAATTAACAAGGAAATTCAATTATTTTTAATTATTAATTCTAAATAACAATCACTAATTGATACTTTGAAAAATAAGTCACTGATTTCAAATCAAGGAATTTTCAACTTAATTAATTTTTTTATATATAATAATTTCAGAATCGTATTTTCATTAGGTACCTACATTTATACTGGAAATTAATTTCTTTTTGAAAATTTTAGGTGATACGTTTGAGAAATTCTGACCCAGTAATATTAATTTACTAAATTTTAATTCAATTTTTTAAATTTCAATTATTCAATTAAGCTAAATTTTATTATTTAATTTTAAAAAATTTTAATTCAATTAGTTAAAGTAATTATAAAGTGTTTAACTATACAATGTTTAATCTATGATGTATTCCACGCCAAAGTGTAAGTCCATCTGCAATTGCATCTACGATTTTTTAGAAATTTTTTTTCTTTTAGTACTAATTGAGACTAGCTTCCATAAATTTTTTCAAATTTTTTTAGCAAGCCGTTTTCGAGTTATGGAATTTTGAATATTGGAGAATTTTCATGACTTTTAATTTTTGAATACTCATAACTTCCTTAAAAATGGATCAATTTTAAAAAAAATGTTTATGTTCAAAATGTGTGTGTTTTAAACGTACTTTTCAAAAAAAAAAATCGAAATTTTTTTTTAAAGATATTACTATCAAATTTTTGAGTTTTAATGATAAAAAGTCATTTTTCTCATTTGACGTACTAATCGATTTTTTTTCAAAATTTTTTCAAAAAAACTACTTCTTTTTACGAAACTTTTAAGCTTAGCCCGATAATGGGCAAACAATTTTTACAATATTTTCGGAATTTTTAAAAAATTTTTGAATTTTGAATTTTTTAAAAATATTTTTGGTTTTTTTATACTACGTACTTTTATGTGAGAGGCTGATAGTAAAAATGATTTAAAATAACATTGGGAGCAAAAGTGGGATAAGTGACTTGGGAGCAAAAACGGGTTAAAATGATTCGTGTAATTTATTGATAAATTCATTATATTATCGATTAAAAAATATTAATTACAATAAAATATGCATTTTTTCCTATTGTTAATATTTTTTAGTCGATAATATAATGAATTTATCAATAAATTACACGAATCATTTTAACCCGTTTTTGCTCCCAAGTCACTTATCCCACTTTTGCTCCCAATGTTATTTTAAACCATTTTTACTATCAGCCCCTCATGTATTTTTAAGGAAGTTATGAGCATTCAAAAATTAAAAGTCATGAAAATTCTCCAATTTTCAAAATTCCATAACTCGAAAACAGCTTGCTAAAAAAATTGGAAAAAATTCATGGAAGCTAGTCTCAATTAGTACTAAAAGAAAAAATAATTTCAAAAAAATCGGAGATGCAATTGCAGATAGATTTACACTTTGGCGTGGAATACATCCTATATACCAGATAGGTACTATATTTTTACCCATTATTAAGAAATGAAACGACATAACGTGATCAAAAAATTTGAAAATTACCGTACAGTTATACTGCGTCCTGACTGTAGATAATAAAACAATTATAAATAAATTACCAAATTTTTTTTATATATATACTGCATTAGTCGTCATATTAAAAAAACATTAACCCCACCTTTTTCTACTAATAATATATTAAATAAATAGAGAAACAATATTATCATCCAAGATAACTCTGAAAAAGATTGGACCCAGAGAGCTTTTTAAATTTTCTTAACATAAAGTGAATACTTATAAAATTGACAATACTATTTTCATCCTTAAGCTTCTTCAACAGGTGAGAATTTGTAAAATAAAATTTAATACCTAACTACTTTATTTCTTACATAATTTTTTTTATTTTATTAATTTAATTTAGTATTATATATTTACCATTTTAATAAAAATGTTTAATATCTTTAGTTAATACAAAATTATCAAAAATTAATATTTACGAGTCTGAAACTCTACTGCTGTCAGGAAACTTATCAAAATATTTATTTAACTTTCAAAAGGTTACTGACTCGAATAAAGTTGAAACACGCACTGATATTTCCCAAATTTTATTTAGTTTTAATTTCTATTTATTCAAATTTTATAAAGATAATTTTTATAATTAATAAAAATTTTACGAATAATAAATAATAATTTATGAATTGTCCCTATAAGAATAAATTTTCAAATTAACTAATCAAAAATTACCAAGAAAATTGTTATTGGTTAATTTTAAAATTCGCGCTGAAATTCACATGGCGGGTGTTTATAGAACGATATTTAAAATTTTTGTAATTTTGCCAAATAACTCAATTCTTGTAAATGAAATTTCGGACAAATAAAATTTTGATGAAATAGAAATTCTGCTAAATGATGTTTACTAAATAAAAATTATGTTAATAATATTCTAATAAATGAAAATTTGCGATTGAAGAACAATTTTGTTAAAATAAAATTTCGTTTTATGAAAATTCTGTTAAATGAAAATTCAGTCAATAAGAGAATCTGTAATTAAAATTTTAGGTAATTAGAAATTCTTTTAAAAAAACATTCAGTTAAATAAAAATTCTCGTTTTAATATAAATTCTTTTTTCCTAATTTAAATTCTGACAAATAAAAATTGGAATATATGAATTTCGAAACACATTAATATAAATTTGAACTGATGGGTTGTGGAGAATATTCATGTGTTTCGCACACTTATGATAAAATTATATATATTATAGCCTCTGAAAAAAGCAAATAAAAAAAACAATGTATTCGACTAAATGAATTAACATAAAACTTAAACCAATATTTTACTCATAAATAAATTTAAAAACTACTCGTATTGTTCAAATTATAATGAAACTAAAGTATCAGCATTAAAAGTCTAAACGCATATATTTTTTTTACATTACATTAATTAATTAAATTAAATATACTTATCTGGCTTTATTAATTTATCATTGTTATTGCAGATCATTAAATTGACTTCGTTTGAATTAATAAACAATTAATTACGATTTTTATATTGTGTAATCTTATTTACATTTGTTTTTAATTTTTAATATTAAATTTTAATATAACACCTTTAACAATTTTAATACGTAAAGATAAAAATTATTTGTACTATTCTCATCAATTATTAACTGTTTGACGTGTAACTAATACAATGTTTCACAACATTCTCTCAATGTTTCTTGGGCACATAGTATCATAATTGTTCTTTTACAAGTGCGTTGTGCTTTTTTGTGAAATATATTAAAATAAAAAACGTAAAATTCATATATATTTATATAATCAAAAATTCAAGAATAGTTATTTATATATAACAAAGGCGCATTAGTAGAGGAATCGAGATTTGCGTGAATTTTTGACGCAAAGTGTTATAAAAAAAATATTTAATAACCTAATTGAATTTTTTTTTTAATTTATCGATTAATATTGATATATTTTATAATACTTCAGTATATACTCACAAGTAACGTGACAATGATGTGTACAGTCTGCAAAAGTAAGACAGGTCTCTGTCTTTTGATATTATTTATATTCTTTTTAAAAATTTGCCATCAAAGTGTAAATGCTAAACCACAATCAACTGTATTATTCAATGTTGAAGATCCAAAAGAAATGGTAAATATTTTTCTTTCCCTAAAATACAAAATTTTCATCAATACCTATAATATTATTTTATTCAAAAATAAAAGGAAATTTAAAAAAAAATTTAATTTTTATCATTAATTCATCAGGAAAAGAAACGTATTGATGATAAAATCAACATTCACATAACAGATAATTCCAAAAATCGAAGTCTAAAAAAGCGACAAACTATACAGAAGAAGATTTCCATAAATTATAAGAGTAGGGACTGTAAGTATATTAAAAAAATAATTTTTTTTATAGGCATACTTAAAATTCTAGTTTAATATTAAAAAGAAATGTTCAAGAAACAATTTTCTTAAGTCTAGAGAAATTCATATTCTTTGAAGATGAGTTTTTTTTTTTTTTTATTTTCAAAATGTATTGGAAATCTTTAATTATGATAAGTAAATTATTAGAAACTGAAAATAATTCGAAAAAATGAGACTTTTCAAGAACAACATTGATAACAAATTTTCGATCTATTTCAGATATGATTCCTTGTCGCTTTAAAATTTGCAATATGGGTCGGTGACCCATCTAAGAGAAAAATGTATAATGAATGTATTAACTTAAAAATTAGAAAAATTACTATATTATATATATCTATACTTTTAATAAAAAGAAAATATTTATTTACTTTCTCGAAGAAAATTATTATTTTACCTCATCACCACTCTCATATAATCCTATATGAATAAAATCTTTAATTAAAAATCTTTTTGCGTATACACATTTGAATAAATAAAAAAAGAATATATTATATTTAAAAATGATTAAAAATGTTACAAAGAAATATATATACATAATATAATTTAATCGTGTTTAACGGTTAATTTTATATAATTGTGTACTCGTCAGTACTTGTATAGCAATTTTTGCCTTGAAGTTGCCAACAGATCAAGCAAGGGTGCCAAATCTACTAATTTTACACTACCATAGATATTTTAATTAAAAAAAAAAAAAAAAATTTTTTATAAAATTTTCTTAATGACAATCATTAGATTACAGATTCATTTTTTTTTGCATAAATGTCTTTTTCAAAAATAATTGATAATAATAATGAAAATTAGATTTTTTAAATAAATAAGAAATTTTTTATTGAATTTAAAGTATTTAAAATTCAAAAATTCGCGCTGAAAATATGGCGACATCTAGTGAAAAAATTCTAACCTTGTAAAAACAATGTTGGTAATGTGAATAACTTCTCTATAATGGTATATATAAACACCGTAGGATCTATGGAACACGTGATTAAGCAGGATTTCGTAGTTCCCATCAAGTACGCGTCAGTGAGTCAATCATTCTGAGCCATTTCTAAGCATCAGTTTAGTCATTTCAGATCATTCCGTCTGATTCCGTCGTAGACTGTCAACTGTCGTGGACTTGTCTTGTGATTCAAAAAACGTGTTCGAATTTCTTTTAACGTCTTATTTTAAACGAAATCGTTAAAAAGTATTTATTTACAACAAAAATGGTGAGTTATATATTTTATTTATTTATTATATTTTAATTTTGTTTAATAATTTAATTTTTTGTTTAACATAGAAAGTGAATTTATGTTAGTTTTAAAGTTATGTATGTTATGAGAAATGATTTTTTCATTATTATTCAATAATATATTAGTGATTTTAATTTTTATTTCATTCAATGATTTTTAAGAACGCTTTTAAAAAGTCAGCTTTATTTTGGAGAGATAAGATCTTATGTTATAACATGAGTTTATTGTCCGTTAACGCCATAATGTAAACAGTTTTTTTTTCAAAACATTTCCAAATTTGACCTTGTATTTATTTGAGACATATACTTGATATACTTTTATTTAACATTTCTTTTTGAAAGTGCGTTTATTCTAATTTCTGGCATAGTGTTATCATATTTTGTTTCGAAGAAATTTATTTAAAATGGAAAAATAAAACTTTATAATATAAACACCATAAATTTAACGTGCAATTTTTAACATAAAATTGAATTATTTAAAATCATTTATGTACTCTATGAACGAAAAAAAAACTCAAAATAGTTTGTAACACAGTGTATTATCATAAGAATTTTCTAGGTATAAAATAGTTTTAGGAATATAATAGAATAGAAAATCTTGGGTTCACTTCTTTTGTACTAGATTTATGGCATCTAAACCTGATCTCCCAATGAATTTCTTTGTCTCACTTTCAAAAATGACAGGTGTTTAAATTTCCTAAAGTTCACTTGGGTACAATTATTTTATAAAAAAAAAAAAATAATAATAAAAATAAGCCAGGTCAAAAGTCAAAATAACGACTTGTAAATTATTTTACCTAAAAAATTCTTACCTTCACGGCTATTTTGAGTTTTTCATTCATACATCCATAAATGATTTAAAATAATTATTTATTTAATTATCGATAATATATTTATAAATTGTGTTTATTGATGTTTCAGGAATCTTATCCTTATGCAGATGAGTGGGCAGCATTACGTGCTCAACGTCAAAGGGAGTACGAGCAATTTGTTACATTAACACGCTGGGGAGATTTAATGGACATTGCAAACGAAATTGGCCAAAGTTGCTCTCCAGCAGCACCGAAGTCAACTTCTTTTGAACAAAAAAATACCGAATTTTCACAGGGCTATTCGGAGGGATTTTCTTCGTTTACTCCTAGGTACTCTTCGTATTCTTTAAACGATTTTGGAAAAAATAGAATGTAACAGCTACATTCTTTTATTATTATAAATATTATTAATACTTTTGCTGGTTTCTTTTTTTAAATGTAATTTAAAGATATAAAATTTAAGAATTCGAGCTTTAAAACTAATATTAAGTATATATGTATTACTATACTATAAGTAATAGCAAAAAAAATGAATAGAATATGTTTTCATTAGTGCTATACAATTCTGTAACACTTAAAAAAATTAAGCGTCATCACAAAATGTGATCTTTTTAACAAACATTTTCTACGGTATTTAATTAATAAATTGTGTGTATTCTCTTATAATTTATTTTTCAATAAAATTAATTTTTCCATCAAAAATTGTTTCTACTCTCTTCTGTGTTGTTTTATCTTAATCCTTAAAAAAATCTACGTTTCTAGAAAAATAATTAAAAATTATATTTTAACAATTGTCAAAATTAAAAAAAAAAGTATATTTGTATTCAACTATAAAGATAAGAATGACATATTTACATATATACTTTTAACTTAAATAGACATGTTTGAATCAATTTTTACTCGTTTTTATAATTACCTATTTCAAAAATATAAAAAATAGTTTTGTTGTTTCAAATTAAAGATTTTAATTCACATTAATTGCACTAGTGGCGCAATCGTATTTGTTGAGTTTACTATCTACATTTGTGTGATTAAATCTTAGTTTGTGGCTGTCGGTAAAATTGTGATTTATTTATATAAAAAAATTGAAAATATGAATCAAAAGTGATAATCAGATTAATTATAATTAACTGGCAACAATGGCTGTAGCATTTTGTGGTAGAAAATTATTTTTAACAAGGGCAAACATTTTTAAAACACCAACAAGAAATAGTTATATTGTCTTGTAAGTAGTTTTTTTTTATAGGTTATGTACAGACATTATATTTTTGTTATAAAAAATAAAGATGTATAAAACAATAATTATAATTTCTTTTCTGAAATAATTTTATAATTTCGTATTGTAAATAGTATCAGTTGAATTTACTGTCTATTAATATATAATTTAAACAAAAAAAATATCAAATGCAACACACAAATGTTGAAAATTATATTTTTACCGACAAAGTAAATAATGTACAATTTCTTTTTCTATACAAATAGTAAAAATATTTATTATTTTATTAAGGCTACCTGAAATTGGTGAAGATTTACAGGAAAAAAATCCACTTTACTCTGAGGAAACAAAATTACCAGATTTTAAGAAAGTGACATTTGAAAGATGTTTAGCAGCTGTTAATAAACAATCTGTCGAATTTGAACAAAATTTAATGTCTTTGGAAAAAGACATTGAAAGTAATTAATTAATTAATTAATTTCATTTATAGTTTTATAATATACATACATAGCTAATTATTTTCTTATATATAAAAAGGTATTATAATTAATTATCCTTAATTTGTTTTTCATTAACAGAAAATGAGAATTTTAATATTTTTACGGATTTAATAAATCCTATTGAAGAATATCAACTTCCATTGGAATCAACTTGGGGTGTCACTAGAGCTTTATTTGTTGGTGATAAACGTTATATGCCTGGAAAATGTTTTTCGAATATAAGTAGACGTATTGGTTCTGCCATGAGTTATAAATATTGTAACAAACAAATTCATGAGGCATGTAAAAAATCATTAGAAAACAAAAATAATCAATGGACAACAGAACAGGAAAGACTAATCAGTAAATTTATTTTGGAAGGCAAACTCAATGGTTTAGATTTAAAGTTAAAAAGATCTCAAGAGTTAGTTACATATTATTCTGATAAAACAGTAAAAGAACAAAGTTTATTTGCAGGCAAACTCGAGGTAATTTCAATGCATAAAAATAATTATAATAATAGTAGTATTAATAAAAATAAAAATAATCACAATAATAAATTTTAATAATATATGTAAATTTTACCAATAGGCAAAAACAATAGCGTATTCTTTAATAGTCAGGGATTCTAGTGTAATGAAAGATTTTCCTGAATATTTTTTGAAATTAGTGACAGCTGATCCATTAAATCCTCATAGAGGTCCGTGGGTTATTAATTTACGTCCTCATATCGTCTCAACATTTTTGGGTACAATATTTTTTTTATTATCAGATAATAAAACTATTTCTTCTACTAGATAATCTAGTAAAAAATAAAAAAAAAAGATTATCTTAATAATTATTTATATTTAATTAAAATAAATTAAATTAATTTCGTAGAATACTGTTCGGATCGAGTTTTAAGGAAACAAATTTGGAGAGAAGATGTATTGAAATGTTCTTTATATGGAGAACGAGAAGTGCAAAACAGCACTACACTTGAAAATATAAGAGATTTTCGAAATGAAATTGCACAACTTTTAAATTATAAATCATATGCCGATATGTCTATGGAAACAAAAATGGCTGGTACTGTTCAGAATGTTTACGACTTTTTTGATACATTACTTGTAGAAGGTAAGTTTTAGATCATAATAAATGATAATATAATTGAAAAAAAAAAATTATAAATCGTTACGATTTTTTTTTTTTTGTCAAATTTAATTAATTGACAAAAAATTTTATTCTCTAGCTCGACCAGCTCAAGAGCGTGAAATGGAAGAATTAAATAAATTTGCACAAGAAAGAGGATTCGATGATACGATAAAGCAGTGGGACATTCCTTATTGGTCACGAAAGCAACAACGAGCTCTATATCAGTAATTATTTTATTTTAAATAAATTTTAGTTTTCCATTTCCTTAAAAATAAAAAACTTATGCATTTGCTATTACAGTTAATTATTATTATTATACAGGGTGTCGATTATGTAATTTGATTTGATTCTGACGTCAAAGTCAATTTTAATTCCGGATATTCATTTGTTCATTTAATTTTGACGTTAAATTCAAATTTATTTTTTGATTTGATTTTGACGTCAAATTCAAATTTATTTCGACGTCAAAGTCAAATCAAACAATAAATTTGAATTTGACGTCAAAATTAAATGAACAAATGAATGTCTCGAATTAAAATTTACTTTGACGTCGAAATAAATTTGAATTTGACGTCAAAATCAAATCAAAAAATGAATTTCTCGAATTAAATTTGACTTTGACGTCAAAATAAATTTGAATTTGATGTCAGAATTAAATCAAATTACATAATCGACACCCAGCATACTTAATTTATGAGATATTTTTTCTTTTTTCTTTTCTTAGAAAATTAAATATTACAGGAAAAGTATTTTTAAAAAATTGGAAAATTTTTAAAAACATTTTATATTATTTTGCCTGTTATTAATTATTGAAAATATTTTTTTGAAAGAAAAAAAAAATGTTTAATTTTCAAAAATCTTGAAAAATGAAATACATATAAAGAAAGATGAAAATCGTTTAACTACATATTTTGAGGGTGAATATAATAAATAAATGAAAATATAAGAAACCGAAACAAATCGTTGACTCAATGCTTTTGAGTGCGATTTCTTAAGGACTTTAAAATTTAATGGTTTCATAGGGCTTACATATGTTCACTTCCGGTTCTTTCTCTTATATTTGAAATACGAATGTCAAAAATGAAATATTCTCAGAAAAATTTTATATTCCATCTTGGAAAATAAGATCGATTTTTGGATTTTTCTATTTTTTTCCCCCATAATAAATTACAATTAATTACTATTTGAGTATTATAGTAATTACAGTAATTAAGTCATTATATCAATTAAGTAAAAATTTAATTTTTAATATTTTTCAAGTATTTTTAATGATTTTCTTTTTGAAAATTTTGGAAAAAATAATTTAAAAACTCATTAAAAGACAATAATATACTTTACCTGTAATGTGGTTTTCATAAAGAACAACATTTGATAATTACCTATACCTTCTTAATGGAATACACTTAACGCAGGTATGAAGAGAAGGTTATTCAAGAATATTTTGCGTTGCCAAAAGTTTTGGAATCAATATTTAAGCTGTCGGAAAATATTTTTAACATAAAAATAGACGAGTATTATAATCCAAATGTTTGGCACGAAGATGTTCGTCTATTCAATATTTATGATTTGGATTGTTCGAGTACAGAACCAGTAGCCAAATTTTATTTGGATCCCTATATCCGAGAACATAAAATAAAAAGCAATTCACATGAAGGTTATATGATTCCAATGAGGGGAAGAAGTAAAATTTGTGACACAGAACCATTGGCAGCTTTAATATTTAATTTTGTTCCTTCAACTTCGGATAAACCTTCGCTTTTGACGTTTGATGACGTGGTGGAATTATTTGAAAAAGTAAATATTAAATTTTATTAATGAAATTTAATAAGTAATTGAAACGAGTTAGTTTTTTTTTGTACTAAATATAAAAATGATTAACAAATTTTCTTGACACTTGAAGGACATTTTTATTGAAGTTCTAAACGAAAGTATTTTTATTTTATTTCCATTTGCAAGGGATTAAAAAGAATATTGAGGGTTGTAAATTTAATGGGGTAATGACGGCTTTCCCAATTTTATTATGTATTCAAAAGTATCCTCAAGTTAATTTTCGATGGTCAGTACAATAAAAGAAAATTTTTGACTTTTCCAAATGAAGAGTCATTACTAAATTACTTTTTGCGGATTATAAATCTGACAATATAATATATTCTTGGAATTTCCAAGGCTTATCCTTGAAAAAAGTTCTCAAAATTTCTTTCCTTCAATTTTTTTTGTCGAATATATAATTTTATAGTAGTTATAAAATAATTAATTTATGCTTTTGATATTTTATTATTCTACTGAATAGCGAATAATATTTATTTTATTTTTGGCAATAATTGTTAAATATTTTTTATAATAATTCTTTTTTATGAATTTAAAAACTTTGTTTTTGAATAATACTAAATGTTTATATATTTAATTGAATATTTTTATTTTTAATAAATTAAAAAAAAATTATTTTTTGTAATTTATCATTTTTTTTTTGTTTCTTTTTTTTGGTGAGATCAATAGCAACACAAAATTGGTTAAATTTTTCTTTTATTAAAAAGTAATGAAAAAATTGCTCAACAATTTTACCTTTACAAATACAAAGTGAATTGTTATTTTTGTCGAAAGACCTTACTTAATTCAGAGGATGAGAAAATTTCAGGTAGTTATTGTGTGTACTACGTGCTAAATCTTAATCTTCTGTAAAGATCCGGTGTAAACCCTTTTACTGCCATGTAATCCTCAAATTGACAGTTACCTTGCCATTGTTAAGAAATGATAAAAAAAAATTACTTTATAAAAAAACAATTTTTTTTCAAACTAAAATAAATTCATTAATGAAAAATATTGAATTTTTTGTTAGTTTGGCAAGGCATTTCATCATCTTTTAACGAAAACAAATTATCTCGAATTGGCTGGTTTGTCAAATGTTGAATGGGATGCATCCAATATTAGTGGTCATTTTATGACCAATTGGTAAGTGTATTATTTTGTTTCATTATTTAAATGTTATCATAATAACATTTTTTAAAGGAGAATTCCATTTTTATATCTTTTTTTGCACTTTTTTTCTATATCTAAAATTTGTTTCGAATAATAACACTTTCAGGGTTTACGAATCGTCTGTTTTATCAGAAATGTCCAAACATTATAAAACTGGAGAGCCTTTGTCATCAGAAATGATAGAGAATCTCAAAAATAAGAGGACTTTTATGGCTGGTTATAAACTTTGTAAAAAACTTTATATATCACGATTCGATATGTTGTTATATTCAACGTAAGTATTTAAAAAAAAAAAATTAATTTTAATTCTGAAAATTTTCAGAAATATTCTTAATTATGAATATAGTTATTCTCAATTTTTTGTTCTACATTGCAGAGATGAATTTTGGGTACCAATAATGAAACGATTGTGGAAACAACATTTTGTCATCCCAGAATTTAAAGAAGATTCACATATTTGTTCATTTAGTCCCATATTCAGTGGAAATTTTGGATCAGCTTATTACACGTATGCTTTTAACTTAAACAATTTCTTTTATACATTATTTTAGTTAATAATGATATAATTTTATTATTTTTCACTCTTGCATTTCTATTGAACAAGGAGGAAAAAATATTTATTTTATTCTTTTATTTTTTAAAATTACATAAAACTATTTACAATATTAATTCTAAATAAATAAATGTTTAATTTTATTTTTAGTGAATTATGGTCAGAAATGCTTGGTGCCGATGCATTTAGCGCATTTCAAGAAATTCCTTTAGGCGACGAAGCTCAACAAAAATTAATTGGACGTAGATATAAAGACACTTTTCTTGCTTCAGGAGGTAGTTGTTCATCGAATGAATTATTTAGAAGATTTAGGGGAAGAGATCCCAGTGTAAAAGCACTTTTGAAAAATTTAGGATTAAAAGCTAATCCCGAGAACCAGATCAATGCTTAAATATTGTAGATAAAAATTATTGTTTTTGCTACAAAAAAATTTATAGTTTTTTTTTTTTATTTTTTTTTTTGCTATAACAAAAGGCCTTTTTGTTGTCATGACAAATTTATCTTTCTTGTACAGACAGAAAACAGAAATTATAATTTTTCTTATAATAAAAATAATTATAACTTTTTTTATAACGCAAATTATAATTTCTGTTATAACGAAAGTTAATTAGTTTTGTCGGTAGGTTTAAAAATAAAAATCTAAAAGTCATTTACATTTTAATTATATTATTCTAATTTTGTAAAAAAATACACTCGATCAACTGCGATACAATTTATAGATTTCCGTGCTTACGATATTAGTATAACGAAAAAGTTAAAAAGTAAAAATAGATTTGATATCGTTAATAATGAGTTTTGTATGTCTGTGTATAATATTATTTTTAAGATAAAATGTAAATAATTAGCTAAAAATTTATTTTGTTCTCAAAAAATAGTAGAATGTAACTAATAGTAATGAATTTCTCTTATAATTATAAATTGTGACTTATCCAAAATTATTTCACGACACATGCGAAATCATGTATGTATTTTCTGTTAAAAACTATACTAAAATAAATAAAGACATTTTAAATAAAAATTTTGAATATTAATATTTCAATTTCTATCTTGTAATTTGGAAAGAAAAAAAAATACATTTTCCTTTAAGTATATATGATTTTTATTAAAGATTGTCACTATTAAATATTATAATAAATGTTATATACAATTTCACGAAAAAAAATGAAAAAGTTCACAATCCAATTAAAATTGATTAATCATCTAAAAATATTCACTAAAATAAGAATATTCAACGAAATTTTTAATCAAATACCCTATCAATATTGAGTAAAAATGTACAACTTATCAATAATTAATTAAAAATTTACAAATAAAATAATCCTTTGGCATATGGAATAAAAAATACTTTTACTATTGTATGCAAATGCTCATCAAAAAATATGCTGTATATAATTATTTATACACATTGTTTTCAATTGGTCTATAGACTAATCACATTGTTTATTCTTAAAATATTTAATAAAAAAAAAAAATATATATATAAAAATATTTCGAATTTAAAAAATAAAACTTCTTTATTATATATGACAAATTCAAAGATTTGTAATTCGTAAAAATTTAAAATATATACTATAATCATTGCATGAAATGAAAATTAGCTTAGATATACGTAAAACTAAATTCTTTACGAAAATCAACAGAAAGTAGCGAGAATTATAGATATAAAAAGTAAAACAATCACCACCCAATATCCACAAGTTTTGTCTTTTTGACTAATATTTTGCACTGTTCGCGTACCCTCAATTAAACGCTCATCAGTTCTATCTACATGATCTGCAAGGTCGTCAATTATTTCTGAAAAATAAATAAAGAAATTTTGATAAATTATAATTATCTAAAATTAAACTTTTTAAAAATTTCTATTTATATCCTTTGCTCTATGTCTATATTTTTGTATTAAATATTAAAACTAAATAAATATTTTTTATTCAATCAATAAAATAAAATTATAAGCATATAAAATTAAATAATAAATAATCTCTGGACAATAAATTGTGTTTTTTTTATACCATTTTGTTGATCCACTTCACTGTGTATTGCTTGCGCAATATGTTTTTGTCTCGTTATTACTTTTGATAATTCCTCTAATCCTCTTTCTTGTTCTGAAATAAAATGTAAAATTATCATTAAAAAAATTTGAAAATACAAAAAATAAAACAATTTTTTCAAAAATTAAAATTGTAGTTTGACAACTGAAAGGAAAAAGGTGAAATCGTTTAAAAAAAAAAAAAGATGTAGATGATAATTTGTGAAAAATAAGTGGAAAATTAATTATAAAGATAAATTAAGAAAATATCATTAATAAATAATATTAATATAAATACCTTCCATGAGTCGTTTTTTTTGACTTTGAATATCTTCTATCGTCACATGAACATCCAGAGGTCGATCGTCATCTTCGTCGATTGCCCAACTTGTGGTCCCGATATCAGCAAAAGCCGATGAACTTGGAGCCAACAAAGCAGTACGCGACATGACTAGGTCAGTGCTACGAGCGTTAAAAAGTCGTTGAATTTGCACGTCTTTACTTTGTAGTTGTTCAATTTGTCTTGTTCTACGTTCAGCTTCCTCGGCAGTTCTGTTATTATTTCAATATTAAGGATAATAAACTTTCAAAATAATATCATATTACTTTCAAAAGTAATTAAATTAAATGTGTGCAAAATACTTACATTTCTTCGCACACCTCAAAATTAAATCGCAATATTAATTATCATAATTTTTTTTTTTTTATTTAAAATCAAATTAATGAGTTTTGTTCAGATTTAAAGTTTTGATTCCATAAATTTTTTAATAAAGGATACATATTTCTTTGCTTGGAGGATTCTTCAACTTTTATTTTAAGCTGTTGAACTTCACCACTATACTGTCTTAAACGAAGACGAATATTTGCTGATAAATTGATAAATGTTTGTGATGTTCGAGGTTCCCGATCACGCAGTGTTAATTGCTCCATTATCTCGCGAAATAGTTTCTCACAAGCGTCATATTCTGTAAGCCTATAATAAAAAAAAAGATATTAATAAAAGATATATTAATTATAATTAAATTTGAGAAATTTGGTAATTGCCAAAAGTGATAAGATTGTCTTTATCAAAAACTGTGCGAGAGGTTAATGTAATGACAAAAAATTGTAAATATACATACCATGGATCACTGCCTTCTATATTTACAAGAGCCATTGTTAAATATCTTCCGTTATCAGAATTAATTTAAAAAATTTTCTAATCTGAAGCAATTATAAACAAGTTATTGGGTATGTAAAAAAAAACTTGTAAATCATTCAACAAATACAGGTTATGTCTGTCAATGTAAAAGCTTTTCAATATTTAATTTATAAAATAAATAATTATAAAATTTATATGAGATAAAAAATTAATTGAAAAGAGAATACAAATGACAAATTAGTGTAGATTATAAACACACATTTTAATTGGATTTCCTCTTTTAAAAACAAAAAAAGTTTTTCAATAATATATATATATATTAAATATTTATACAATATTAGGCCATTGTTATAAACAATATAATGTTCTCCTATAATTATATTACAATCTTCAGTGATTATAAATAATCAAAAAACTATCACTGCTTTATTTGTTTACAAATACTTGTAAAAAATACAAACATTACAAAAACTTTTTCACAATTTATCTTTATTTTGACAGTTCTGATTATACTACTACGCATGCGCATAACTACACACAAAACAAAATGTCAAAATTTTAAAATATAAAAACAATAACATTTATTAAAATTTATCAAACCATTTATAATTAAATTAATTTTATAAATAAATTAAAGTTGGATTTAATTTAAAAAAATTGAAATATATAAATTTATACATATATATTTCCAAGAAAAAAAGAAATATTATTTGTTTATCATTTTGTATTTTATATAAATTTTTTAAGAAGGTGTTGAAAATTTTTAAATATCTTTTAAAAATTATTTTTCTATTTTTTAAATTAATTTTGATTTCAATTTTCTTTTTTTATATTTTTTGAATAAAATCAAAATTTTCAGAATTACCAATCTAGTGTTTTTTTGAAATACCCTAGACATTGTAGTAATTTTCACTAGCAGGACCTTCATCGACTTTTGACGTTTTAGAGGAAGGGCCTGTCAAATATCGTAAACAATTTCATCTTTTTTCTCTTTTGTAAGTAATTTTAATTCTACATTATTCTAATCTGACATTAATATTTATTAAATTAAATTCGAAACTTGAAGAAAATCCATTTCAACAAGTTAAAAAAAAGTGAGAATTCAAAAATTTCCCAAATTGTATACTTGTGCAAAAAAAATATTGTTCAATAACAATTACTATGTTTTGCTAAATATTTGTTACTTATTTTCAACGTAACATTTGTTTTACTTCTTATCTATTTTGATATTTTAACTGTAATGTAAAATTTAAAAATTATTTACCTTTATCGGAATTTGATAAAAATTTGTGTCTAATAAACGTTGCGAAACGATTTTTTTTTTTTTTTTACATTTTTGTGAATAACTGAGAATATGTCAATTTGACTGAGAAAAAAGAAATGTATTTTGACTCATAATCCAAAAAATTAAAATTTTATTAAACTAAAAGAAAATATTGTTACCAATAATTTATAAAAGAAAAAACTTTAAAATCATGAAAAAGAGAAAAAGTTTTTGAAAGAAAATTTTGAATTATTTGAAATTTGTAATTAAAAACAAATAAAAATAATTTTTTCTTAGGCCTCAATATGCGGTTGTTTGGTCGGCGATCCAGTACCGACCAAACAAGAAGACCCATTACTAAACTTCAATATGAAGTACACAACTGGACGAAAATGTCTGATGAAGAAGTGATTGCTGTATTAAAAGAAGATTATCAATGTCTTCCAACGAAAAAATGGAAGAAATCAATTCCCAAGGAGGTGAAAAATCTCACACCTCTCACATCAGGAAATCAAAATGTTCTAATACCCCTTGTTGCGGTATTATCTGGTCTTGCTTTTGGTTACGATATGGGAATCGGTAAACCATTATCAACATTTATTATTCATGATTTTAATCTCACTTGTCGTCAAGAGAATACAATTCTCATTGTATGGTTTGTCGGTGCTCTTATTGGCGGCTTATTTGGAGGTGAGTTATTAGAATTTTTTTTGTTTTTTAAATATATATTAAGAATATAATATTTATTCTTTTTTCTCTTTGTAATTATTGCAAAATTTTCTGTTTTACTTTAAGGTTTTTCAATTGATACTTTTGGTCGTCGATTTACAATGATTTTGTCATTAATAATATTAGCGTTTGGATCAATATTATCGTCATTAGCGAATCACTATATATTATTTTTGGTGGCGAGAATTATTTGCGGTTTCTCTGGGACAATTTCGGCAATGTCACATTGTATTTACATGGCTGAAGTTTCCGATAAACGTAAACGAGGATCAAATATAACGTTACATCAAATTGGCACTGCCTCGGGACTTTTATTCGCTATAATTGTTGCAGCCACCAAAGGCACCGAATGTCAATGGCGATTTATTATTGGTCTCACATCTGTTCCAGCATTAATTGCATGCATCATTATTATTATATTTCTACATAGATCGCCATCATTTCTTTTATTGAGAAAATTATCTAATATGCCAAAACATGTGAATCAATTGTCAGCATCAATTAACGCTTGGTGTTATATTCTCAAAATGTTTATTATTATGACAGTGATGCTAATTTTGAGACAAGGAACAGGAAGACATCAAGTACTCGCCTATGCTCCGAGACTTTTTTCTCTCCTTGGCATGTGTCCTGGTAAATTTTTTTTTCAAAATTAATTTAATAATAATAATAATCTACTCATGAATTGAAAAAATGGAATTTTTTTTCAGACGATGCAGAAGTTGCGGCATCAATAGCACTTGGAATAATAAAAGTCTTCAGCACTTCATTGGCTCTTGCTGTTGTTGAACGTTGTGGACGTCGTACGGCTTTAATAACTTCGGCAACAATTTGTATGACTACAATTTCATTATTGTCACTTTTGGCGACAATGGACAGAGGAGACGATTCTTTGAATCTTATTCGTGAATCGTGTAAAAATAATATTCCAAATGTCACTGACACTATTAATCAAAATGCAAATATGCCAATTGGATTTCCGCCTCCCTATCCTTTATTGCCAACACCTCTTGCTATTATTGCTCCAAATCCAAAACCTTGGACACAAATAAAAACCACTTGCGAGGTAATTATAATTGACAATTAATTAAATTTTACTTATATCTAAAAGTAATTTTAAAAAAATTAATTTCATATTTAAATAATTTTATTAATTTAATTTTTTAATTTTAGCCTCAATCTACATCGGAAGGCTTAACGGGTGGTCTTCAAATTCTTGCTGTAGTCACTTTATTTGTCTACGAATCGGCTTACGCTTTGGGAATTGGTCCAGTTCCGCTTTTAATTCTTTGCGAAGTATTTCCTGCAACTATTAGAGGAAGATCGATTGGCTTTTTTGTGATTGTCCTCTGGATTTCACATGTTTTGATTTCTGAATCAATTTTCAAAGTGACCAGTAAGTTTTTCTATAATTATAACAATAATTTTTCCAAATGATGAATGATCAGGAAAAAAATCAAGAATTTTCTATTAAAAATAAAACTCAAAGTGGCCATTGACCGGGAAAAAGCCGGAAATTTTTATAAAAATCGGGAATTATAGATACATTTGCATTAAAAATTACAAATTTTATTAAAATTTATTGGAAATAAATTTAAGAACACGATCAGTTCATTAACTTTCGTTCTTTCCGAGTTTATTAATCATAATATTATATAATAAATTTTATTTATTTTATTTTCAATTAAAAAATTAATTTTTTTTAAAAAAATAATTACAAATTTCCACAGTACGGGAATTTTGAAAATGAAATTTTGCAGCCACTTTTGAATTTATTTAATTAATTATTTGAATTGTTAAAAAATATTGACATTGTCGTTGTTTCTTTTAATGACCAATGAACACCTTACAAAGTTGAATAAAATAAAGTGAAATATTTTTGAGAAAATTGATAAATTTAGCTACTATTTAAATATTAAATAATATTTGATTATTTTCTTTCTCTCTGCACAGAAATGCTGACCCTGGCTGGTGCCTATTTATTGTATAGTTTCGTCTGCCTAATCACAATATTTTATGTTTTCTTATTTATTCCTGAAACGAAGAGGAAATCCTTGAATCAAATTGCTCACGAATTATATAGAGTTTCATTAAAAACAAGAATTTGCGAGAATTTAAGAAGTTTACCGCTAGTCTGTCATATCGAGTGGATTATGAAATATGGCGATAATTCGAATAATGAACAAAGTACGCCTATTTAAAAAGGCGCGCTTAGATATTAGAGAAGAATAACATAAAAAAAAGAAGTGAACGGAAAAAAAGTATTATCGCATATGACATGAAAAAAAAACAAAAATCATCTCATCAAATTTGTATGCGATTACAACGTTTTACATTATAGGATATATAAATAAGTAGAGATTTTTACTTTATTTCTATACGAGTAACTCTACATGATGGACTGAATAATTCTTTTTTTTTTTGTTTACAGTAAAAAAGCAAAAATAACTTTTTTACAGTATTAAACCTTGTAATTTGTTTTTATGTGATTTGTAATTTTGAGAAAATTTTTTTTTATTTCTTTCTTTTGGAATTGATGTAAATTTCCAAAGACTTTTTTTTAATTAAGATATTTTTCTATAGTGATTTTTTTGAAAGATAGTTTATTATTTTTTTATATTTTATCGTTCTTTGTGAAAAAGCAATGATTTGATTTTTTAAGAATTAATTTTTGTTTATCATCCTGTTAAACATTTATAACTATAAAGCCTGTGATATTATCCTTTTTTTTAAAAAAAAAAAAAAAATTGATTGGAAAATGAAATTATTTATAAAATTTTTCAATATTTCAATGTAATGAAATGTTTATAATATATAGTATATATATTTTCTAGATCCTAGCTTTAACTTCTTTTTAAGGTTTGTTATTTAATTTTAAATGTTCAAATTTAATTAAATTAAATTCAATATATTTAAATGAATTGATTTTAAATATTTCATATTTTTATATTATATAATATTAACAATTATTTATCTTTTTATTTATTACGATTTGTTATTTTTGTTTTATTTGTATGAAATATTCAATTTTTTACTTTAGATTAAAGTAAAGAATTAATTACAATGATATATGTTTTGAATTTACACGAGAAATATACACCTCTTATTTGTCAATTTTCCTCTCATGTTTGTGAAAAAATTTTGTATTCTTATAAACAATTTTATCATTTATTCTTAACGAATTTACAATAGATTCTAAAAATCTACTAAAACTATCACAGTTACATTATTTAAGTATAATATATAAATAAGTAATTTAGAACTGTTTAAAAATAGAAAAATCGTGTCCAAACTTCAGTTTTATGTAGTTTTTATGTATATAAAAAATACATTGAACATTTAGAGAATATTTATATCTGAATTAGTAAAATAAAGTACAAAAAAACAAAATGAGTCTTTGTTTCTTTTAATTCCTGGTTTATTAATTAAATTCACTTATTAGGTAATTAGGTAATAAAAGTGATATTTTTTTAAAAAAATATTTACTTATATATATATAAATTTATTTAAAAATTGAAAAAACAGCTAAAATTGATACAAAATTTTTTTATTATATTTTAATGTATAAAAGCAGTGTTTGAGAAATGCATAAATCTTTCTCTGGAAGACTAAAAAAATCACATGTCTTTATAGCAAGTATAATAAATTGAAACTCTTTTGCAGCACTGCAAAAGAAAATGGTAATAAAAAAAAAAAACAAAAGTACAAGTTTAACACAGAAAAAGTGAAAGAAAACAAGAGAAAAAAAAGTCAAAATCCTCTTCCATTTATTTTTACTTCTATATTTGTAATTTTTTTTTCCTTTCGTTCTCTTTCACATACCTAACACTTGCTTTTAAAAAATAAAATGTTTACATAGGTAAAATAAAAATTCTTCATAAAAAAAATAGAAATAAAAGTTTTATAAGTACATATATAAAAAAAAATTTGTATAAAAGTTACAAAAAACTATGTACACGCAAAGAACTGAAAATCTATTTTATAAAACATAATAGATTTTGTCACATCCTATAAATAATACTGTAGAATTTAATCATTTTTTTTTTATGTCATCTTCAAAATTGATACAAATTTTAAAAGATAATTATATTTAATGTAATTTTGTGGTTTTTGTTAATATTTAAAATCATGATTTTAAAAACAAAAGTTTAAAACTTTTTAAAAGAGATTGACAGCAAAAAAATTGAATTATAAAACCAAAATATTTGTATCAATTTTGAATAATAAATTCAAATCAATTGTATTAATATCGTTTTGTATTTGATATTTTGTTTGTTCGTTGAAGGCACTTATAATACTAGACGCGATATTAAAAAAATATTCTATGATAGACTTAGATGTACGTAATATCATGAGATCATTACATTTTATATTTATAAAATGTAAATAATACCAGAATTTTTTATTATAATATATATATCACACTTTAAAGTGCCTTAGGAATGATTTCATCGCTTGGATTAAAAACTTTTTTTCTACTCCAATTGGGAAATTTGGGTGGTGACAATACTTGCTTTAAAAAAAGACTTCTCCTCTCTTTTAAATTACATCTAACATCCTCAATATGTTCTTTATCATCGTCATTTTTGCAATCTGGTAAATTCTCCTTTTCATAAGTGGTAATCACATCATCATCTTCATCATCATCATCATAATCATCATAAATATTCAAATCTCTTAAAATTCCCTTGTTTGCCATTAAAATTGATTGATTTAAAACTGGTTTTGATTTTACTTCAAATTTCTCACGTAATAAGGAGAATTTTCTTCTTGGTCGACAAATCGATTTTCGTCGTTTTTCATTTGACAATGAACTTGTACCACCAACACGAGGACTATTTAATTTTGATGATAAATTTCCAATTGGCAATGAATCTAATTTAATTTCATTCTTTTTCATCGAACTATGAAAATTTTCCAATTCACGTGTTTTTGGAATAATTTCACCTTCGGAATTTGAATGATGTACTTCTTCTTCTTCTTCTTCTTTATTTTTATTTGCTTGTTCCTTAATTACTTCGCATAGTGAATCATTTAGTTCCTTGTAGAAATTATTGAAATTCTCCGCTTTTAATGCTTTCATTTCCACATAAACATTATTGTCATCTGGTAAATTAATTTCATCTTCTTTTGTATATTTTTCGGTTTTTGTACGTGGTTCAAGAACCGGTGAATCCGATAAAATGGCACTTATCAATGGAGTCTTTCCCATTGATACTCTTGAGCAAATACTCGAAATATCCAAAGAATTTTCATCTCTATTAATAAATAGCAAATTCCATGGATTTTCATTAATACAATTATTTATTGTTTTTGTATGATTTTTTTTCATAAGAATACAATGACTTAAATCTTCATATTGTTTTTCGGTACGATGATAAATATGACGGGGTGAATTTTCGACGGCGTATTTTCTAATTTCATCAATTGTAGCGACAAGTGAACTGACGGCGGCAGTTTTTGAATTGATACTATTATCGGAATTACTTGTCAATTCTTCGTGTTCTTCCATAATTGTATCTAACGCCAACATTCCACCTCGTTCATCAATGACAATTGGTTTTGCAGCAAATAAATTTGATTCCTCGTTAGTTTGAAATTTTTGCATTGAATCGTCTTCATTGAAAACATTTGATTCCCAATCAACTAAATCGTAGACAAGTGTATCTAAATAATCATCCTGTCGGGAATTTTTCATAATTCTCTTGAATGGTGAATTTGAATAAGTGCCATCGGAAAAATCGGAACTTAATGTTGTGGCCGTTGCTGTACTCGTTAGAGTATCTCGTCTTCTATCTCGTACAATACTATCATCGTGAATATATGTTTCAATGTCGGTGTAACCTTTCCAACTTCGAATACACCATGGTGGACGTGCCACTCCCAATGGACAAAGATTTTCATAATCATGAATTGAAGTTATTTGACTCATTGTTTCGTCTTTTTGTGAATTTGTTTTTTCACTACTATCATCAGTAACTTCATTTATTTCCGTAATCACTGGAGTATTCATTCTTTGTCGAACTTTTATATTCTCGGGTATAACGTAAATATCACTTGAATCATCTTGAGCTAATGGTACAACTTTGAAGCCTTTGAGTTTATGTTTATCCTCGTATGACGAAAGGGAAAATGTTTTCTCTACATAATTATCAATATCGGTCACTAATTGAGTCAAAGAACAAATTCCTCTTCTTTTATCACTATTTTCACGTGAAATACTAGTAGTTGGAGCAATTTCTTGTTGAATTTTCAAATCAGTTTTCATTGTTTCGAAAATCTCGTCAATTTTTGCCTCATATTTTTTTAATGAACAATTAGGTGAATCAATTTTTTTACTTTCAATTATTACTTGTGGTATTTCTTCGGTATCGTCTGACTGTACAAAACTTGAATTGAGAATTCCCCTCTCTATTGTTTCAGTGTTTTGTTCAATATTGGTTAATAATGATTTTTTATCTGCCGTGACAACTTCCTCGGAAAGTGCAATTGACGGTGAAATATCGGGTAACGTCGCTTGAGATTCATCTATTGTATCAGATTGTAAATTTTTCTTATCTTTAAATATATCAACATATTTTGAAAGTTGTAAACTTTCTTTAAATACTTTATCGTAATTAAATTTACGATAATAGAGAAGCATACTTCCTAATCCAAAGAATGAGCCACCGAGAATTAAAATATATGAAATAACAAAAACATTTGTATTGAGTGTTTCTTGTATGTAAAAAGTGTAAACAATCAAAAGTGTTACGTTTTGAATCATTATTAAAACGTAATAAGCACAAATTCGATACCAAAGGTAATCGCCATTAACGAGGAAAATATCGAAAAAATAGATTAAACCCAGTATATAATTAAAAGTGTATTTCTCGCATAATTTTCGTGAGGGAATATTTTGCAATGTAATCCAAACGGTCATAATTATGCTGTGAATACCTAAAAAAAAAAACAATTTCTTATAATACCGACAATAAATTAAATTTAGATAAATAAATTAAATTAAATAGCAAATTCATTTAATTGAAATAAACCTACTAAATATAATAGAAATATAAAGTTACCTAAAAAAACAAAAAGCCATCTTTCTAAACAAAATGCAGCCAAAACTAAAGCCGTGATTCTTGAAGCGAGTAAACCACCTCGCCAACAAAGTTGAACAATTAGCGCTGACCATTTTGATTTTTGGTGACTCCAATGAGTACCAAGTTTAAATTTTATATATCCTGCTGTGGTCCATGTTAAAGAACAAAGCGATGTTGCAACGGATGCACCTGAAAAATTTTTTTATTTTAAATAAGAAACATTTTATTATTATTAAATTTAAAATTTTTAAAAAAATGAAGTTCAAGTTAATAATAATTTTATAATTATAAATAATTAAAATTAGTGATAAAAATATAGATTAACGATATAAAAAAAATAAACACAAAAAAATTAGAAAGAAAAAGTTTTGAACTACACGAGAAAATTAGTCTCAATAAAATTGACACCAACTGAAAAAATAATGTGGGCGGACTTCCTCTTTTTTGCTTTGAAAGATGAGTTAGTGATGATACTATTTCCTATATGTCTCACTAACATACTAATATCTTTTTATTATCATCCGAGCATATGTTGAAGATAAAGATAAAAAAAAGGCAAATTCAAATAATACAATTTTCAAATTATCTCTCACAAGAAGATTATTAAATATTATATTTATGTAAATTTTGTTTTTTCAATTTTTGTAAAATGAAAAAAAAACAATAATTATTATAAATAAATAAAAAGATTATTGTACTATAGATTATATAGAAAAATCGTCATGTTACGAAATTCTGTTATATATACAAATTGATGAGATTTCTTGACAAATAATCGAAAAGAAATGTGAAGTTATTTTTAAATATGTACTCTCAAATCCAGATGTATGGATACGTGTTTTATTTTTATATGACCTCTAAATAGATTTTTTTCTGAACCTAAATCTATCATAAAAAGTAAATCAGAATTAAATGATTTTGAAATAATTCGACTTTTCATTTCTTCCCTACTTTTAAAAGTGAATTATAATGAAAAATATTTTACTACATCTATATTAAACTGTTTTTGAAAACTGAATTTCGACTGCTTAATTTTTGAGAGTTTATAATTTATTTAAAATTCATAAGCTTAAGGAAGTCACTAAGTTATATGAAAATAAATTGAAAAAGAAAATGATTGCAAATTAATTTTAAAAATGCTTTCACACAATACATTTTCTATACAAAAATGTGAATATTTATTTTATGTCCCACTACCGCAATCGAAAGAATTCATTCATTCCGCTTTGGCTTTGAGAGTGAGTAACACACTTCCGAGCTCGTTGTAAGAAACGAAAATGTAAAAATAAAAAAAAAATCGAGAAAAGCAAAATTAAATAAATAAAACAGTTGTGCCAGTGAATATAAAAATTGCATTAAAAATTGAATACCATAAAATTATTTAAACTTACATTTTTTTCAATTAAATTTGTTTCTAAAAATGTTTTTACTATTTCTAAATAAATTTTCATAGTAGAAAAATAAAAATCAAATTAAAATAAATAAAATTTATAATGCAGGTTTGTGTACATCATACAAAATTTAATATTTATAACAAAAAAATATTTTTCATTTAATTTCTAATTTTTGTTTTTAGGCAACGAAAGGACTTCAATTAGTGTTACTATTAGGAGCAACATTTACGTGTTTAGCTTTTTTAAATAAATATCCAAACATTTCTTATGAGATAGATAAAACGGATTTTTTTCCATTGTCAAATAAATTACATTCCAAAAATTCGAAATTTAATATACTTTCTCAACAAAGACTGAGAAATATAATTCAACAAAGATTAAAGAACATTGAACATCTTTGTGAAAATCATAATAGAACACGTCAGTTTGAGACGGTTGTTTCAAAAATTATTGTCGATATGTAAGTCAATATAAATTTTATTTTTATCAAAATTTAAATGTAAAACTTTTTTTAAAAACCTAAATATTTTATTTTCAGAAAACATGGAATATCATGGTGTCCAATTTACAAAGCTGCTAGTACAGTATGGATGAGACAATTTGCAAACCTCGGAGGAATTTTAACAAATAAAACAAAAGAACTTGTAGAAAAAAATGTTGTTCAAATAAGTACTCTTGTGAATAATGTTTATAACACTGAATTAAACATCAATAAAACACTTCAAGTAAGTAGAGCAAAAACGAAATTTTTATTTATTTTTTTTTTCTTGAGAATATATAATTTGAAAAAAGAAATAAATTCAAACTCTTAAACATTTTTTTTAGAACATAAAAGAGACAAAAATATTTCTCGTGGTAAGACATCCCTTTGAACGACTACTTTCTGCTTATCGAGATAAATTAGAGCACAAGAAAGGACGAGATTATTATTACCGACGTTTTGGACGACACATAACGTATAAATATCGTAAAAATAAGAAAAAAAACACACAATCCGAACCATTATTTGTCGAATTTTTGGAATTTATAGCAAAAGAAAAATATTTTGACGAACATTGGATTCCTTATACTGAAATTTGTTTACCATGTGATATTAAATATAATTATATATTAAAATTCGAAACATTCGAAGAAGAAAGTGAATTTTTACTATTACAATTAGGATTACAGGATAAATTAGATTTTAACTGGCAAAAAAATTCAACTTTTCAAATTGCTACTACAAAATCAGTGATAAAAAATTATTATAAAAATATTCCTGTAACACTTCTCAAAAAGATATACAATATTTATGAAAAAGATTTTAAACTATTTTTATATACACCCGATGAATATTATTCATTAGGAAAGAAAGAGTTTTAAAATGTAGTTTAAAAAAAAAAACTTTAAAAATTCAATACTAAATTGTTATTTCATTTTATTTATTTTTATGCAACTTATTTTAGAAAATTAATTATTTTTTCATTATAATAAAATAATTAAAACTTATTTCGGTGTTCAATTTAATGTAATTAAACAATAAAATAAAAAAAAAAAAAAATTTTAAAAGTATCTCATAATAAATTATGTTAATAACCGATTTAAGGATTCAAAAAGTGTAAAATAAATTATAATAAATAAATAAACATACCAGTCCAGAAAGGCACACTTTGTTGTATCGCCAAAAGATAAAGTTGAAATATTAGTTGTGGAACAGAGACCACAAAGGATACAAATAAATGTAACGTATAGACATTGTTTTCATTTTTTAAAATCCATGCTTTACTCTTTGCAGAATATTTCGAATTAAAACTGTTGAGCATTTCTTTCAGTAACACTACGTATCTGAAAAAATATTATATCCTTAAATTAAGTACTTTGGCAAAAATTATTTATAAACATGAAATATATAGATTTACAAAAATAAAACTAACCTGTATAAAATTCCAATTAAAAAAAAATGTGATATCCAATGTATTTTTTTAAGATTTCCATCCTCATTATACCACTTTAAACTGAGAATTTGAATTAGGCTTGTTGGTATAAATAAAATACCAATTTCCAAATAAAACCACACGAGACATCCTCGTAAAAAATATTCAGTAGTTACAAAAATATCTAAATAATAAAAACAAAATTTAATAATCATAAAACAGAAAATTAAAACAAGACAATTCAAATTATTTTAATTTTCAATTATTAAAAAATTATACACGACATAACTTATTAAAATGTCAAATTTCAATATTTATATATTCAAAACACGAATTAAATTAATTTAAATTTTAAACGTACTACACATGGGAAAGAAAAATATTAATGATTTTGTGAAAGAACTGTGTAATATCGAATATTTACACTACACTTAAAAAAAATGACCATTAACATAATTATAATTAAAATCTAATCACTTGTAATCACAAAGATAATAATAAATATTACAAATAAAATAACATTGCTCAACACTGAAATTTAAAAAATCAATAACAAAATCAATAGAAGTGAAGTTTGTTTATAACCTGTCACGATATTTGTCAGGATAATTCCAATGGAAAATATATACAATATCATGTCGAGTATTCTAAATCTACAGTTCTCGATTTTTTTTTTACAATCAAAAGATGAAGCATCTTGTTTAATATTAATTTCTTCATGTAAAACTTGATTCCTTTTTAACTCTGCCGCCGCCATCTTCTCCGACGGACGCCAACAGTTATGAAAAATCCAGTTTTCAAATAACATATAATTCAGGGTTTGTTTACAAATTGATAATTCTTGGACAAAATTTTTTTTTTAATGAAACAATTCTGATTGGTCGAAAATAAATTATTTCATTCAAAGCTACTAATCATCAATACCGGGTATTTTCAAAATTTACTTATTATAATGATATTTTCAAATAAATTGACAACAAATTTTATCATTTTTTTCAAATTAATAATTCCCATTATTATCAATTAATCGAAATTTATTAATATTATACACGTGTATGTTATTTGTGAAAAAAGTTTAATCCAATTTAGAAAATGTGAACATAACCTAAAAGTAATCATATCTCATCACCTTATTTTAGATTGTGACTTGTCATTTTTCTAGTTTATTTTACAATTTCTGAAAAAAGTGTAAAGTTTGAAATTTTCCTTAAAATAAATCTTCATAATTCACGTGCACAAGGTAAGATGAAACGAGTGAAATAAATCTAGTTGGACTCTATTAAAAAAATAGTTCGCGGCGGGTTCGCCGGCTGCCATCTTGGACATCTTCTCATAGAGAAGCCGGCCGCCCGCAAAAATTGAGTTTAACGGGTTCCCGCGGGTCCAAGTGTCGTTTAGAATAATTTTTCAAGTTTGTGAAGAAGTTTAGTAAATCAGCAAGATTAAACTGTTAACGATACGGGCCCGGAATGCTTTAGGTGAGGCCAAAATTGAAACCATATCAATCCGTCCAACAGTGTGCTGGCGTGTGATTTTTCCTGATCGTGTGTGCGCGAATTCTCATGCGTGTGCGTGCATATGTTCCATAGTTGAAAAATTAATTTTTTTAAAAAAATATTATTGTAAAAGCATAATTTGCATGTAGAATTAAATTTATTGTTGTTCCCAATGGCTAGACACAAGGTACCCTAGCGCGCAGTTCATCTGGCCACTGCCCGTCCCGAAGCTCGAATCTTCAATTCTCAAGAATCCCTTTATTACTAATTACAAAATTTTAAATTCCTCCATCCATCAATATACAAAACGTTTTGCATTTATTATAAATCTTTTGATTTTATTCGTTGCATTGAAAAATTAACCTGAACGCTTGATTTATATTTCATTCTTTTGCACCCCGAGTTCCTAACCTTAATTCTGTTAGTCGTCCGCCCACAGCGCTGACCCTGTTCAAATTCAGTATCTTTTGCATTCTGCGCGTCCCTCCACGAGGTAGTCTTTGTTTACTTGGTAATTTTTCATATCCAAGGTGATTTCATCTCTTTAGTTGAATTATGTTTGTATACTATTATAATAGCGTAAAATATATTATTCTTGTACCTTGTGGCATGAGAGAGAGATATATAGATAGACCAGTCCAATCATTTGGTAGTATTATTTAGGAGAACTTTAAAATTTTAATTTCATCAATTTTATATTTGTTCTTGCTTATTGTAATCGAATTTACATCCTGATTAAAATTTTTTATATGAGAACTCAGCTTTATGATAATATAGACTCGTAATGTCACGTTTCTAGGAATTCAAGTAGACAAATTCACTTCTATTTTTAGCTTTATTAGAAATGTGTTTTGAAATTTGATTTATTTTCTCATAATTCTTTTGCTTTTAGATATTAATTTGCTGTATATGAGAATTATTGAAAGACACATATTTGAATAGATGTGAAAAGTATGAGAGTTTGTTTAAAATATCGATTATTTGAGGAGAAAAAGAAGAAAAAAGCTTCAAAATTTATGAAAAAAAAAAAAAATTTGAGATTTACCAAATTTGATAAAAAGCTTATTGAGATATTTGAATTTTTTAGCCAATGGCTTTTTGTCATTTCTGGTGAATTATTTTTATTATATGAGCTTTGTCCGTGTTATTGTATATTTATTTGTTTTTTGTTTGTTTGTAATAATTTTCATAGTCTTGAAAGTCTGTTTACATTATCAATTACCTATTGTAAATATAAATATTGTTTTTGAAATTTGAAAATTTGTTATTTTAACACATTACTTTTGTCTTTTGTAACCTTCAGTGATGGTTTGTTAAATTGTCGTTTAATAATAGAGAGAAGATGTCTTTTTAATTTTGTGGCCTATTGGCTTATATTTATTTAATTACATCAAAATTTAACACGTTTCGACACAGTATTCTGTATCCTCATCAGAAAAAACAAAGCAAGATAAATCATCTGTGTCGAAACGCGTCAAATTTTGATGTAATTAAATAAATATAAGCCAATAGGCCACAAAATTAAAAAGACATCTTCTCTCTATTAAAAATGTCTTAAAATAAAGAAGTATTTACTTCATACATTTTTTCGTCGTTTAATAATGTCATAGTTGATATTATTTTGATTAAATAAGATCATTTGCGAGAAATATACAAAAGTATTTATCGAAATTCTAAATTTTAAGGGTACAAATGATTTTTAAATATTTAAAATATATGTATTGAACCGAAAAGAAAGTAAATTGATTTTTGTTTTTTTTGTTTTAGGTTTATTGCTACACACTTATGTTGGTAGTTGGGTGAGTAGAGGAGACAAATTTGTTACTGGTCGTTCATTTTCATTAGTTGATCGAGACATTGTGGCCAGTGGTGGAAGCAAGACAAATAAAATTAACAGATATTGTCTCGAAAGAATGGCGCTTCCAAGTAGAGCAAGGGTTTATACTGACGTTAATTCACACAAATCCAGAGATTATTGGGATTATGAGTCGTATGTCGTTGACTGGGGGTAAGAAAATTTTTTGACAAAATTATCATATTTTAATTATATATACAAGTTATTAAAATAAATATAAAATCATTGTCAAATATTATCAAAATGTATTTTTTCAAGAAAAATGATAAATTTTTTTTTTTTTGTTTTACAGACAACAAGATGATTACCAACTTGTGAGAAAGCTCGGACGCGGAAAATATAGTGAAGTTTTTGAGGCTATCAATATCACAAATAATGAAAAATGTGTTGTCAAAATATTAAAGGTTTGCATGTTTTATTTTACATATAGTTTTGTAAATAAGTAAAAAACGATCTTTATCACTAAATTTACCTGAATTTTACTTTTATTCTGTTTTTTGTTAAAAATTAACTAATTTTTTCCTTTTTTTTTTTTTTTTTTGAGATTTCATTTTTGTTAATTTGTGTTTACAGCCGGTTAAAAAGAAGAAGATTAAGAGGGAGATTAAAATCCTAGAAAATCTTAGAGGCGGGACCAACATTATTACGCTTCAAGCAGTTGTTAAAGATCCAGTTTCAAGGACACCAGCATTGATATTTGAACATGTCAACAACACAGATTTTAAACAGCTTTACCAGACATTGACAGATTACGATATAAGATACTACCTCTATGAATTATTAAAAGTAAGGTTTTTTTTTTGGTCAAAAATATTTTTCATAATAAAAAAAAAAAAAATTGTTTTTTGGGGTATTAAAAACAATGAATTGAATTTTATAGGCATTGGACTATTGCCATAGTATGGGCATAATGCACAGGGACGTGAAGCCACATAATGTGATGATCGATCACGAGAATCGAAAGCTACGACTAATTGACTGGGGTCTCGCTGAATTTTATCATCCGGGACAAGAATATAACGTTCGAGTTGCATCTCGATACTTTAAAGGGCCAGAACTATTAGTAGATTATCAGGTTTGTTTTGTCAAAAGTTTGTAGATGATTAAAAAGTGTCTAATTTTGATTTATTTATTAATTTACATTTTTTAAATTTACAGATGTACGACTATTCATTGGATATGTGGTCATTAGGTTGTATGCTAGCAAGTATGATCTTTAGGAAAGAACCCTTTTTTCACGGTCACGATAATTATGATCAATTAGTCAGGATCGCCAAAGTTCTTGGCACAGAGGAGCTTTTCGAGTATCTTGACAAATATCATATCGAGCTCGATCCACGTTTTAATGATATACTTGGACGACATTCGCGTAAACGTTGGGAGCGCTTTGTACACTCGGAAAATCAGCATTTGGTGTATCCCGAGAGCCTCGATTTTTTAGACAAGCTTCTACGTTACGATCACTATGAGAGACTCACTGCGCGTGAAGCAATGGAACATCCTTATTTTTGTAAGTTACACACATTTTTAATAATAATAATAATAATAATAATAATAATAATTGAAATCTACGTTTGCAGATTTTTTTACAAACGTAAATTTTATCCTTCTTTTCTTATTTAAAATTTCTTTTAAATAAATAATATTTGTAATATTTAAAAAATTTATAAATCCTTATTTATTAACATAAATTAATTACGACTGTTTTTTTCTCATCTTCAGATCCAATAGTTAAAGAGCAAGGTCGGCTACCAATGGTTTCTTCGTCACCTACTCCCATGACAGGCTCTTTGCCTGTAGGTGAGTAGCGGACCAGGTAATGTCAACATCCATTATTTACCTTTATCATTATAATTAAGGATTACTGCTCCAAAATGTTCAGCGTGTTTATAAGGTTCTTTTTATAAGTTAAAGGGATTCTTGTTTTTAGCTTTAGAAAATAATAGTTGTTTTCAACTAGAAAATAAGTCGTTACTTTTTATATTCTCGTGTAAATAAAAAGTATTATTTTGAAAAGTATGATGGAAATAAAGTTATTTAGTAACACACTGATAACTCGTTAAATTTTTCAAATAAAGGCAAATTTTACAATTTTTTTAAAAAATTTGTTTTTATTGTTAAAAAAAATTGCATTTCAGTTAAAAAAAAAAAATATTTTTTTAGTTAAAGGAAATTATTTTTAGTCAACAGAAATTTGATTTTAGTAAACAAAAAAAAAAAAAAAAAATTTTAGTTTATTAAAATTTTGTTTAGTTAACAAAAAAATTATGTTTCAATAAAAAATAATATTTCTATAAATAAAAAAATTATTTTTATCAGTTATAATTACTTAGATAAAAAATGAAAACTATTACTTGACCTGAGAATATTTATTAAAAAATTTATTCTATATCTTTCGTGCAAAATAATCATATAATATTAAATTGATTGTTTATCCAAAACATTCAACTTTATTGATTTAATAAATTTTATTTTTAAAGAAATTATGTTTTGAACCTGATGGAAATTTGTTTGGAGAAAATTTTTTTTGAACTATTTGGAAGCATCGTCTTTAATTATTCGCATCGCATTAATAATTATCCTTGTTATTTATCAAAAAGAAATATGTTGGAGATATTTTACACTGAAAAAACACGACTTTTTCTCTGGAATCATCTTTTTCAACTTTGAAATTTGTATGGAGAAAGAGAGACATAAATAAGAGATGGAGATACTCTGAGATGTACTGCAACTTATGTTAAAAATATTTTATCATTTTAGCTTCATTTAAAATCACACATCCAATCATTAAATTTAAGTTTTATTAATGAAAGTAAATTAAAAGCATAATTATTAATTGAGGCTTTTCATTATTAAATTATTATTAATATTCATATAATTCATACCGCACCTATTTTTGTGTAGTTATTTAAATATTGCAGTTATGTATATATAGAAGTAGAAAAAAAATTTACATACACACATTTATTTTTTATAATTTCTTCAACGAATTTTTAATTTTATAAGACAATTATTTTTAATATTCAACATTTTAAAGTTAAAATATAGTTTTGAAATATTTGTTTCAATTTGTTCTTATTTTCATTTACATTGTGACAATTAATTATCTTTCATTATTTCTATTCTTTTGTTCATAATCAATTATGAGCAACACCAACGCTGCATTCTGAATATCGAATCAACGTTTTTCATTTAATTTAGTAAATTTCCAATTCTAAATTCTCGTTTTTAGCACAAAAAAAAATGAAATTTCAAATTATAATCACAATTAATACAATAAATTTAAACAAATATTGAGAATTAAGGAAAGAAAAAATGAGTTTATTTTTATTTTAATTTATTTTCACTGAAGAAAAATAGATGTTTTTTCGCCTACTCTTTTTCAGTGAAAGAAAAATTGTTTTATTTATTATTTTATATTTAAAAAAGAAAGAAAAATGTGTCTTAAAACTAGCTGAACGATATTTTTCTTGGGAAAACAAATTTTTTTTATATATAAATATCAACTGTCTTGTAGATGATCGTGGTTTAGCGTTGGGCAATATGCCGGTTCCTGGTACAGCTGGATTAGGAAATACAGAAGGGTTTGGGGGTGGCGTAATGAATGTCTTAGAAGAAATTTCGACACCCCAAACTTAATCTCAACAACTCTTATAAAATCAGCGTACGGGAATGAGAGATTATGTCCCAAGCTACTTCTTAAGATGACAACACATCGCCGGTTGATGCATGATATCGTCAAGGTTGTAACCATTCTCGCCATCGACAAAATTCTGGTTTGTAATATCGGTTTTATCGATCTTTCAATTAAGACTGAGTTATCTTGCTTCGCCTATCGTTTCACGGGAACTTTATGTCACAACAACAACAACAACACGAGGATCGTAACGTACTTAGAATATCCGACGAATAAAATAATAATATTAATGATTTTAGATGTGAATTTTGTCCTACTATTTGATACTATTATGTTGTTTGCTGTTGCGTTAAAAAAATTTGATGATACGCATCACATTTTCATTGAATGCGAATCATTTTTATTTCTTGACACGCGACATAAAATAGAAATTTTTTTGGGACTTTTACTACTAACAACAACAACAACAACATCATCGTCATCATCATTATTGTCGTGTAAATTATTGTATGCGTACACGATAATGATGATGAAATTGTGTCTGGTTCCTGTCTCATCTTGCAGATGATCGTGGTTTTTTAATAATAAATAATAATAATAATAATAATTAGTAAGTCGGGAGATGCTGACCGAAAGAGAATTAAAAAAAAAATGAAAAAAAGGAAAAGTAAAAAAAAAGAAAAGAAAGAAACAAAATAGAAAACCACACATTTTACATGAGAACACGTGAACACGCGTGTATAACGCATACACTAGGACACTCAGTTTAGTATATTTAACGATAATAAAAGAAAAAAAAAGAAAAATGTTCATTTATAACTGATACCACAATGATAGCTGAATAAAAACGTTTGTTATAGCCAAGTACTCTTTGTGCTTTGTGAATTCCTATGATGCATTTTGGCAATGAACGCTTTCAATCTCGGTCGGTCCTCGTTTTCCGTTTTTTTTTTTTTTTTTTTTGTTTTGTTTTTAAAGAATTATTTATTTTACTATTACTTCTTTAATTAGAAGACGATTTTGTAAAAATAAAGTCAAAAACAACACTTTCAAATAATTAAAATTGCATTTAGATAAAAATTAAAAATTTCTCGTGAAACGATTGTCAAATTTAATGATTTAAATCGATTATTGAAATTAAATTAAATTCAAAAAATTTCTAAACTACAATTTAATGTGGACAATGTAATTCCCACTTTTTTTTTTTATAAATAATTGTCTTTTAGTTTGAGGTTTTACAATTTTATTTTGTATTAATTTTGGCGAAAACGTGTTTTTTTTTTCATGATACAATATATTCACGATCGAAACACAAGAACATGTTTCTTAAAAGAAAATTTTACGATATTTTTTTCATTATTTAATGACCATATTGGATTTGAAGGTTTATATCATTTGTATTATTATATTTATATAAATTAACGGTGTTTACTGGATAATTATTATATGAATTCAAAATATGTGTATCATTTGATAACAATAGTATAAATAAATGTTTATAATTTTATATCAACAATGAAATTTATCATTTGATATTTATTAGTGAAAAATTTTTTTTTATTTACCATAAATTGTTATCATTTGATAATTAAAAAATTAACGATGTTATTTATCGATAATTATGAATTTTGTTTAGTATTTTATATAATTATATATATTTTGTCTCTATTATTTTGACAATATAGTTTCGAGTTAAAGAATAAAAAAGAAAAAAAAGAAAAATGTGTTGTCTAGTGTACGAGGCGATCGAATAAAATCCAAGGCCCCCAAATACTTGGCAATAGCGAAGCCTAAATAATTCTATAAGTATTACCGATATACATACTAGATTAGGTCATTTTATTATATCAAGATGAAAAGAAATGTACATTTTGATTCGGCGCGCTGGCTAAATATGAATACAATCCCTTTTCTTTTTTCTTATGTGTTATTCTTTTTTATATTATATATAAATTAATCAATTAAATAATTTTGCATGCATGTTTGGCCAGCTCACCGCTCATTTTCAATGCATTTATCGAGAAGACGAGTGCTTGTACAAAATAATAATCCGACCGTGTTCTACTCGAGTGTCCAAAATTTATACCCGTAAAAAATTCAATTTAGTTTTTAGAAAAAGAAAGTTAATTATTTAATTCAATTAATATTTATATTGATAATAAAATTATATTATTAATATTTATATTGATTTTTAATTAATTGATTACTTACATTAAAAAAAAAAAAAAAAAAAAAAAAAATTAAGTGTGACAAATCGAGTAGAGTTCGGATATTAAAAAAAAAAAAATTGAAAAAACACACACACACACACAGATAACTTGACAAAATGGCAGAATTCTCTGATGCTGGCTTATATATAGCAAAAAATATTCGCTTCCCTTTTGATCCCTGGCGCCGTTCTTGCCTCAACTTTGTATATTTCAGGATTTTATAAACGTAAATATATATATTATACATACATATATATGCGACATAAATAGATATATTTTATTTTCAAAATATACGTATATATGTAATAAGGTAATTAAACAAAATATTGATAAATATAAATAATTAAATTAAAAAAAAAAAAGAAAGAAAAACGAGAAAAGTAAATGGTCTTGTTCTCCTGTTTTATTGTGAGTGATAAATCGATTTATGAAAAAATTATTATTTATAATATATATTATTACGTGTAATTAAACGCGATTATATTTATTCTCCATTCAACTTTTGTGAATATTCCTTATACACCACATAAATACACAATCATACATACATTAAACACAATATTATAATGGACATATTTTGTCAAATAATGTGATTGGAATTTTTTCAATGTATCCTACATTTTTTCATTATTATAAATGAAGGCAAGAACGGCACAAACGTTTCTTATTCTGTCAACAATAATTATAATAATAATATGAATAATAATATAATTATTATCACGAGCCCCCCCCCCATTCCTCCTCAATTTGTACGTTAAGTTTATAATAATCTAGTTTAGTTTTATAATAAAGAAAAAAAAATTATTAATGTCTAAATGAAGCGAACACGAATAACTGGAACAAATAAAGAAACATAGAAAGATCAAAAGTTTTTAAATGAAAAATATGAAAAACAATAGTAATAATATGAATATAATAAAAAAAAAATAGTTTATGTTATATAAAGAGGAAAAAAGGGCAATTTTTTTTTTGTTCTTTTTTGTAATCTTTTGCAGTGCAGTGATTTCAGAAAGAAAGAAAGTAAGAGAGAGAGAGAGTGAGTAATTTTTCTCGAATTTTGAGTGAAAAAATTTTTTTTTGGTGCTTCGAAAAAAAAATTTGTCTTGCGTGTTTGTTTCTTATATATATATTTAAAAAATCTCAACGTGTTTTTATGAGAGAATATTATTGATAGAAAAAAAAAGATTTAGAATTGAAGCGAAAATTTAGACAAAAAAAAAAAAACAGAAAAACGAACACGTGCCATGAGTTTTTTTTATAATTTTCTCGTAATAATATATATATTATATTGTATCGATGAATGAATGATTGTAAAAGAGAGATACCACTTTTTTTTTCTTTTAATTTTAAAAACACAATATCGTAAAAATCTATTGATATAATAAACATCTCATAGAACTCACAATACTGCGTAAATTTTTAAAATCGAGAGAATAATATTCAAATTAAATAAAAATTAGTGATCTATAGCAATTTTTGGGTGAATGATAAGACAATAAAATTTATTACAATTGCGCGCATTCTGCTTTTCAAATTACATAATTATATATGCAATGAAACAAATCACGTATAGTTGAGTTTATATAATGAAATACACACGATCGAAGGGAAGACGCTATTATTATAGAGTTCTGCAAGTGAGGAACAAAAAAAAAAAAAAAAAAACACATTTTTAAACGAAAATAAAAAAAAAGAAAAAATATGGAATTTTCTGCATATGCGATCACTTATGCATGTGCAAGAAAATTTTAATCATTTTCATTATGTCAAAAATAGTTGTATCAATAATAATTTAACAATGCTGTATAGGATGATAAAAAAAACAAATACAATTTCGTTTATATTAAAGAAAAAAAAAGATAAGTTCGTTTCTCTTCTTTCCATTGGTGTTGTCAATTGATAAATAAATATTTTTTCTTAAATTCCATTAAAATCAATTAGTTATGTTTATTGAATTTTAATTACTAAATTAGAATTGATCCTTATTTTGAAATATAAATTAATTTTAAATACAATTTTTAATTATAATTATGTACTGTATTATAATTACATTATGTTTTTTAAATTGAAATTAATTAGTTTACTTAAAAATAAATTAAAGTAAATTAATTATGAAATATTAAATAACAAATACGCATAATATAACATAAATAAGAAATTGATAAATAATAAACTTGTACTTAATATTGTTTTTATATAATTGTTTAAAGAATTAATTAAATATAATTTGAAATCATTTTTATAAAGCTTAAAATGCTTTTTAAAAATTTAGTATCTTTAATAATCTTCAAACTTTAAACACTTTAAATTTTAAATACGTTAAAAGATTTTTAAAACAGTAAAATATTTTAAAAATTATTCAATAATTTTAAAAAGTATATCTATATAAGTAATTGTTTTTTGATATATTAAAATTTTGAAAACGTAATAAAAATTTTACATTGCTTTGATTTTAAATTTCGCGGACTAAAATGATAAGTAAAGGCTAATTTTTAACCTAAAATGTGAATTAGACTTTATGTTTACCTGAAGGAAATGATTTTAAGGTTAGTTGTTATGTCAACAATTGTATACGAATTGTAATATTTAAAAAGTAAATTATAATGATTTTTAATGTGAGAATCTAATGAATTGTAATTATAATTGTGTAAATATTTATTGAAAGATATTATTGTTTTTAAAAAATGGCTACTAATACTTTTGTATTGGACAATGGAGGTTGTTATGCAAAAGCCGGTTTATCAACAGAGAAAACAAAGTAAGAAAGAAATATAATTAATTACCATTAATTTATTGTATTCACTAATATTATTTGTCTTTTTTATCTGTTTTTAAATCCATTAAATATAATTTCACTGAAATGCTATAAATTCACTCTTATGCCTATTCATATAAAAGAATATTAAATTGAAAAATTAATTTTTGTTTCTTTATTAATAAATTATCAAAAACTTTTGCATTCTTCTATTTTTTTCAGATTAATACCAAACTGTATAATGAAAGCAAAAAGTGAAAGACGCCGACCATTTGTTGGAAATCAAATAGACGAATGCCGTGATGCTTCGGGTTTATTTTATATTCTTCCTTTTCAAAAAGGCTACCTCATCAATTGGGATGTACAAAAAACTGTCTGGGACTATATATTTTCAAAAGAATGTTGTCCAGTGAATTTAAATCAAACATCAGTAATATTTACCGAACCACCATTTAATTTTCCCTCTAATCAAGAAGCACTTGAAGAAATTTTCTTCGAAGAATTTGATTGTCACAGTCTCCTGAGAATTAATGCCGTCAGTTTATCGTGTTATAATTATAAGCAAAAATATCCCAATTCAAAATGTTGCATTGTCGTTGATTGTGGTTATAGTTTTACTCATATTGTTCCCTATGTTAACGATACAAAAATGAAGGAAGGAATTCGACGTATTGACGTGGGTGGAAAACTACTTACAAATCATTTAAAAGAAATATTATCCTATCGTCAATTACACGTTATGGACGAGACTTATGTGATTAATCAAGTGAAAGAGGATTCGTGTTTTATTTCACAGGACTTTTATAAAGATATGGAAATTGCAAAATTAAAAGGCAGTACAAATACAATAGTCAAGGATTATGTTTTACCAGATTTCACTTCATTGCGTCGTGGATTTCTTCAAGATCCAAGTGTTGAAAGTGAACAACAAACTCTTCGCTTGGGCAATGAACGATTTTCGATACCTGAAATTCTCTTTCATCCATCGGATGTTGGAATTCGACAAATGGGAATTCCAGAAGCTATTATTGATTGTTTAAAGGCATGTGAAGAAGAGGCTTGGCCGCATTTATTGTCAAATATTATTCTCACTGGTGGAAGTGCAAAATTCCCCGGATTTCAGGAGAGAATTTTTAAGGAAGTCAGAAGTCTTGCTCCCATTGAGTATCCAGTTAATGTCATGCTAGCCGAAGAGTAAGTAAAAGAAACTTTAAATAACTTTGAAAAACCAAGAAAAAAAAATGTAATAATTCCATTTTCAGTCCAATGACTTATGCCTGGGAAGGTGGAAAATTACTCAGCAAGGATCCAACATTCTCCAGTTTTTTGGTAACTCGAGAGGAATACGATGAAGAGGGTCACAATATTTGCTTCGAACGATTTGATACATAGTTTTTATATTTTAATGATTTTTTTATATAAAAAAAAAATACATCAACAATGTAAAAATCAAAAAATAAGTTTTCTTTTTAAAAAAAAATTTCTCCCATTTTTTTTTAAATTGACAAAAAAAATATTCATATAGATTTCATTTGTTCCATAAGTTCTTCTAAACTTGGACCGTCAGAAAGTTGTTCTTGTGCAGTTTCAATTTCAGAAGTTGGAAGTGTATAAGCCGATCGTAAACCGGTACCTAAAATAATTGGTTGTTTTTCCTCCGTCTCTGGTTCTGTTTCATCAACCAGACAAATACCTTTACAAAAATATTCTCTCATTAATTTACCGTTTTTTTTTAAATATGATGAAGAAAAAGCAAACATGAAATAATTTTTAAAAAAATATTTTTTTACCCCATTCATTGTCTTCGTGTAATGGAGTGTCTTCCAAGCATTCCTCGCACTGTTCCACTTTTGGTTTTGTCAAATATTCTCTCTGTCGTTGTTGACAATATTTATCATCGCAATTTTCATTTGGTCTCAATGTCATGCTAGGGAAAAAATCTTGCATTGCATTGTAGCCCAAATAATTTGAGACTGTTCCAAAATTGAGTAAAAATTTCAAAGCATTTTGAACAAGAAATCCGGCAACAATTCCCATTGTTGTTGGAAGTGAAGCTGCACAAACACCATCTCGTTTTAGTGTTTTTTCATCTATACTGGATGCAACTATCAATGGTGGTGCACACTATTGTTAAAAAAAAAAATGAAATTATAAATAAATCTTTATTAAATTTATGGAAAACTTTGAAATGGAAAAAAAATTAGAAAATACACACCGCAAAGCATGCAGTTTCTCCGGGAATGATAAATTGAATGTGACCGGAAACGGCATTTTCGGAAACTCCACTTTCAAACCATTTTTGATTGAGTTCATTGCATGCTGTGTTTATGGCCATTCGAGCTTCAAAATTATCGACACAACTCAAAACAAGATCAACATGTCCTTTCGATAGACTCGAAGTGCTATGGGGCAATATTAAATAATAATGTTAAAAATAAAGTTAGAATAAAATTTACTTATTCATTGAAAATCGATTAAATTCTACCTTATTGTATCCATAAATTGTTGGAAATGATCAACAAGTGTTATATTATAATTGTGTGTATCAATTTGTACATCAGGATTAATAAATCTCAGAGTTTTAGCCGCTGCATCTACTTTGCTCTGACCAACTTGATGTGGTTGAAAGAAAAGTCTATTCATATTTGCTAATTCCACTTTGTCATAATCGAAAAGTACCAGCTTTAAAATAATTTCAAAAGATTCATTATAGTTTAGAAGTGTTTTCTTAATTATAGATAATTAAATGAATAGTAATTACGATAATTAATTAATATTTAATTAATTGTTTAATTAATGACCTGACATGTTTCATTCTCTAAATGATTTCTAATATATTTATTTATTTATTTTACCTTTCCAATACCGCATCTTGTAAGCATTTCGGCTGTTACACTTCCAACTCCACCAACACCTACAATTGCAATTGTCATGTTTCGAATTCTCTCATAATCTTTAACAATACCCATTCGTTGTAACGCCATTAAACGACTGAAAAAAATATTACAAATTATAGAGAATTACACAATAAAATGTAATAATAACAGTGTTTGTTACTGTGGAATAAAAATTCAATAATTTTGAAAAATAATTTAAATTTAAAATTATTAAATTATCATTTAAATAATAATAATTTAATAAGTAAAAATATTTTTAAAAAGTTTTTAAATAATTAAAAGAAAAGACAATCACCTATATGGATTAGTGTCGACTACTTCACTTGACATTTGTTCAACTTTGTCTCTAGAAAATTCAACATTTTTCGATTTAAATTCAGCAATTTGTTTTTCCAATTCTTTTATACGCTCCTCCATTTTTTGTATATTATCCATTATTAATATAACAGTATTTATAAACAATTTTAATATTACATGTACACAAATTTTCCCATATGTCAAAATTGTGACAGTTGTTTCTAGTAGAGGTTATGTCACGTGACCTATATCTATAAATAACAGTATATATAGTTATAGGGCGTCTGCTATTGACATCGCCTTTAAATAAATCTGTTCACTTTTCACGTTATTCATGACTTTTAAATAATTTTACTAGGTAAATAAAATGATATATATTAAAATAAAATATTCACTCAATTATGTCATCAAATAATGTATAAATTGGTATTTATTCTTGATTATAATTTGAATTGTTTTAATTCTGTTTTAGGTTATTTTTAAGGGTTGATAAACCCTCAAGTTAATAACGTGTGCGAAATCATCATGGACAAAAGTTCGATTGTTTTTGTTCAGTGCAAAATGTGTTTTACGGAAAGAATGTAGTTTTGTTGTCGTAATCAAAATAATGTGACGACATTTGAACTTTTACATTTTTTTTTTAAATCGGAAATGCACTAAAAAACGAATGTGAGTGCAATTTAAGTATACAAATGCAATTGATAAGTTTATCAGCTTTATCAGTTATATATCTACCTTCCGTAAGGATTAATATTTTTCGAGTATAATGAATAACGTGAAAGAAAGAAAATTCTCAACATATGTAATTATAATATCAACATCTTGATTAATCATTTAATTATTGTATGATATCAAAGTTTTGTCAAACAAAGACTTTTGGATATGTGAGTAGAAATTTTTATTTTTTTTTTTTCACTGTTATTACTAATTTTTTTCTATTTTGCATTTTTTTTTTTTATTTTTTAATTGACTTTTTTTTTATCGCAGACGTAATATAATGGCTCGTTATCGTCCGATATTAATTTCTATGAATTCAATACAGTCTCATGTGTCACGATATTTATAACTCGATAAGCGTAAAGGTAAGGAAATAGTTTCATTTTCTAATTATTTATTAACATAGCTTTATACTTTGTTGTTTTCAACTTTCAAGGGTAATTATATCATAGTTATAGATTTTTTTTCAGATTAAATATTCAATTAAAATTGGAGTGTATGTGAAATTGATATCATGGCTAATAAACGAGGGACTTTTTCACTTCTTATGTGGAAGAATTTAATTGTTCGTAAGAGACATTGGAAAGCTGGACTCTTTGTGCAAATATGCCTTCCTTTTGCATTGTTTGCACTTACTCAACTTACAAGAGATTTGTCAGCAACTGCACCTGTACGTGTGGAAAATATTACCCATTATGATGTCATAATAAAAGAAGAAGCATTTAGTACCATTGATATGACTGCAAATTTTATTTATTTTTTACCTAATAATAGTTTTGTTGATGAATTAATGAGTGAAACTAGATTGTGTCTTGGGCTTCCTTCAGACAGTAAGTAATTGAGAAATATTTTATCAATGAAATTATAACTTTTGTGAATAAAGTTAAATGACAATTGTTTTTTTTTTTTACATTCAACAGATGTTGTGGGCTTCTTAACGGAGGGTGAATTACTGAAAGAAGTTGCTTTAAAGACAATTGAAGATAAGACGAGAACAATTTTGGCTGTTGTTTTTAAAAATCCAAATGAATTTAATGCAACATCAAAAAATCTTCAATATACGATTAAATCACCAATGATTCCAAGATTTCCATACACAACACCAATTGACATGATCACTGGATATAATGCTTATGTCAGTACATTTCCGTTTGTTCAAGTGCAAATGTGTCTTGATGAGAGCTTTTTAAGACAAAAAGCACCAAATTCTCCATACAATGCCACTGTAAGTATTGTAATAATTTCAAGAAAATTTGATTTTCTTTTTTTTTCATAAATAGTTGAATTTATTCTTATTTACTTAGTTTTATTTAATTATTTTAATTCAGTTTAAAAATATGTATGTGATTTAATAATTTTTAATAAAATGATGATTCTTTATACAAATATTTTTGCAGATATCTCTACAACAAATACCTGATCTCCCTCACATTGAAGTGGATTCTAATGACGAAATGATAAGAACAATGTACGCATTGACTGCGGTTATGGCATTTTTAATTCCTCTGTGCATTGAAGCCACTTATGCTGCAAATGAGAAATTCATCGGCGTTAACGTTAGTTCAATTAATTTATTCAATTATTTCAAAATTATAATTCATTTTTTTTTTTTTTTATAAAACTTTTGAGTTATTGAAAATTTTTGTAAATTTAAATACTATAGTAATTACTGAAAAAATAAAATTTTTTTTTGAATGATAACAATAGATGTTAAAGTAACAATAAATGTTAAAAAAATTCTTTTTGCACAAAAAACAACAAGTTTTATTTATATTTAAAAATTACATTTATTATGCACAAACAAAATGACGTTCGATCAGGTAAAAAACTGGTTTTTTGTCACTGTTCAAATTTAAGTATTTCAACAGTTAAAATTTCTTTAAAATATTTCAATAGCATTTGTAAATTAAATTTTTTTTTTATATTCAGTATTTTAAATTAATTTATATTTTATTAATTTAAGTTAATTTTGTGTTTACATTTTTTTTTTTTTTTTTGCAGATCCTGATGTCAATGAATGGCGTTAAGAATTATCAGAATTTACTAAGTTGGCTCTTGAGCGGTGTGATATTTAGCATTCTTTACATCACTCCGCTTTTAATATTATTTACAAATGCTTTTGTATCGGATGTTGAGCCATATTTAAATTATGGAAACGTTTTTATTGTCGCTGTATTGCTACTCGTTCAAGTGACTCATCTTTTAGCTTATGGAATGCATATTGCTTCATATTTTTCAAAATGTAAAATTTGAAAATTAATTTTCTATTTTATTTACAATTTCTAATTAAATTGAATTATTAAAATATTAAATTTGTATGTTAATTAATAATTGTTTAATTTAACGTCAAATTATTTTTTTTCAGCCCTCTTTATGATCTCCGGTATTCTGGCAATTTATGTTGGATCGTCAATGCTACAAAGATTTATCGTTAAAAGCAGCGTTTTTGGATTGATACCATATTTGGGAATTATTTTTCCAAATTATTTGTTATTTCGAATGTTTCAGGAAATAAGTGTTTATGAAAAAAGATGTATGTATAAAAATATGTTTACATATTAATTTAATTATATTTTTGTTTTTATTATTGTATTATTTTAGTATCAGAATTTAGAGACGATAAAAATTTTAATTTCTTTTTTTTTTAGTAATTTTATAAATGTTTATTATTTTCAGTGACAGGAGTTCAATTCCATAATTTATTTCTCGTTGGAGACGATGATTATCCGGCTGTTGGAAGTTTGGGAGGAATGCTTCTACTTTCAGTATTAGGAATTGTGATTCATTTTTTTTTCACATTGTACGCTTATTCCGTTTTTCCCGGCAAATATGGGGTTTCAAAACATCCACTTTTCTTTCTAATGGTAATTATTTTACTATAGATACTTTTTTTCAAAAAAAAACTTTAATTAAATTGATAAAAATCATAATTATACGTATTAAAGTTTGAAATTAAACATTTTTAAATTAAAATTACAGCGATCGAAAATCAATAAAGTTTCATCAGAGGAAGAATTGTATGATTGTGATTATAATAATATGGAAGGAAAGCCCTTTGAACCAGTTCCAAAAGATGCTTTTAGGCCTGGAATTCAAATTCGAAATTTAAAGAAATCATATCATACAAATTGGTTAAGTCGTGCAGTAAGTATTAAAAAAAAATGATAAATTTTTATAAAAATAATCATTGTTTTTCTAATAAAAATTTTATTATTTTTAGAAACATCAGGCACTTCGTGGAATTTCAATTGATTTTTATAAAGGACAAATAACAGCTTTGTTGGGTCATAATGGAGCAGGAAAAACAACAATGATGTCTATTTTAACAGGTTTTTTTTTATTTATAACTAAAATAATTTCAAAATATTAAAAATTAATCAATATTAATTAATAATTATTAATTAGGTTATTTATTATTATAATTATTTATAATTAGGTTTGTTAAGTCCTACGGAGGGAATGGTTTTGATAAATGGGAAAAAAGCTAGCGATGAAATGGACGATATTATAAGCGATTTGGGTCTATGTCCTCAAGAAGATATGCTTTTCCCGGATTTGAATGTTTTCGAACAAATCGAGTTTTTTGGCTTGGTGAGATTTTTTAAAATATATTAACTTTCTTCCCTATTAAATTTTTTTAATTAAAAAAATAAAAAATTCAGAATGAATACTTAATTTACATTACTGCTGTTTCAGTTAAAAAATAAAAATAAAACGAAAAGTGAAGTGAAAACAGAAGTGAATATTTTATTAACTAAATTAAAATTACAACCAAAAAGAGACGTAGTGCCAGCAAAACTTTCTGGAGGTCAAAAACGAAGAGTTTGCCTTGGAATGGCAATAATTGGCGATGCTTCTGTAAATCTTTTATTATTATTATTTTTCATCATTGTTTAAAATTTAATTTAAATTTTCTAAACTAAAATATTTTAATTAAATTTCTCTAGACTCTAATATTAGACGAGCCAACGTCTGGAATGGATCCCGAGAGTAGAAGAGATACGTGGGACATTTTGTTGGTAAGGAAATAAAAAAAAAAACAGTTTTATTAAAACAATGAAAAATGATAAATTAGAATAAATAATATTATTTTTTATTATAGAAAATGAGGGGACAGAAGACAATTATTATCAGTACGCATAATATGGAAGAAGCAGATATTCTTGGAGATAGAACTGCGATAATTCATTTAGGACGATTAAAGAGTTATGGATCTCCAATGTTTCTCAAAAAACTTTACGGTAATTTTTTTTCGAAAATTAAAATATTTTCCAATCAGAGAATTTTAAAAATAAAATATTGCAGCCACTCTGGTATATTAAATAAATTTTTTAAATTTTAGGTCAAGGAAATATTGAAGTGACACTGTCAACGGAAAAAGAATATGATTTTGAGAAAATAAAAAGTCAATTTAGTAGAGAAAGTAAATTAATAAATTTAGATGGCGGTAAATTGGTTTTCAATGTTCCATATACAAATGAATTGCCACAAGATTTGGATAAAATTGAAGAAAGGAAAACAGAACTCGGTGTAAATGGAATAAGTGTCTCGCTTATAACATTAGAACAAGTTTTTCTCAAGTATGTTATATTAAATAGAAGGAATTTTTCCAATAATTTTTTTATATTAGAAAAAAAATAATTTTTTTAATTTTGAAAATGATGGAATTGAATTTATTTTATAATATAATTTATGAGTAAATAATTAATTATTAATTTAAAATAAAGAATTTAAATATTTGAATTTAATTTAAGAGCAACAAAAGAAGACGAGGACGAAGTCGATTCTTGCTTACCTCATGTGGACGAAATTTCAAAAGTAACTGGACGCAATCTTCTTTTGCAATCAGCAATGGCTCTCTTATCAAAAAAGCTCACCTATACCTATAAGAATATTCTGACATTTTGGTTGATCGTATGTAAAAAATAAATAAAATTCGATATTTTTTTTTGTATAATAATTTTTAATTTGGTTTCTCTTTTTTTTCTAGGTCTTAATTCCATTGATCAGTGTGTTTTTGATAGGACTCGATTTTAATGCTCTTCGCGATACTTCACCGGCGATTCCTTTAAGACTCGATAAATATCGATATCCTCAAAGTTTTTTCACGAGCGATGAACCCTTTGGAAGTGTCTATAAAAAAATTGTCGAACAATTTAACGGCGAACCAATCGATGTTGGTACTACTAATATTTCACAAGGTAAATAAATTACGATTCTAATATTAAAGAATAAAAAATTAATATATTCTAATTTAAATTCAATTGAGAAAACTAGAAATTATAAAACTCAAATTAATCAAAAAATGTTTGGAAAAAAAAATCAAAAAAAAATTTTTTTTTTTTAATAAATTGTGAATAATTTTTCAGCGATGCTTGATTTGGCATCAAAGGACTTGGCGTCTTATCGAAATAATTTAATTGCTTCCGCGTCTATTCGAATGGATGCACAAAAAAGAGTTAATATGAATGCTTTCTATTCAATATCCGCATCATATAGTATTCCAATATCAGTTAATCTTTTGACAAATACCCTTTTGAAAGCTATAACCAATGATGACAATTATGAGATTAATGTTTGGAGTCAAAAATTCCCAAATTTGTATAAACTCAATGATCTTGCTAATACACAAGACGATGTATTTGGCAGAGTTTTACTTTTAACTGCCTTTCTATATCCAACCATTGCATTGTTCGTTATTCATCCCCTCAGAGAATCGTCTCTTGGAGTGAAACAACTTCAAAGAATGACGGGAATTCCAAGTTGGTTATATTGGGGAACATTATTTCTCTTTGATTTCATCATCTTTTCTGTGTCCATTATTTTAATTTTAATTGGATTCTATGCTATTGATTGCATTTTTGATATTCGAATGTTCCACGCAACAGAAATGTGTAAAGTATTAAATTTCTTAATTATTATTAATTAAAATAGAAATTAGTAAATATTCTAAAATATTTTAAACCAGTTTTTATTTCTAAAATGTTTAATAAAAAATTTTCAATCAATTTTAATATTGTTTTAATTGAATATTGTTTATATTTTATTATTCAATGAAAAATATTAAAATAGATTAAATTTTCTTTTAACAATTTGTCATTATTAAAATAAAAAATTAATAACTCATAAATTATATATATCTAAAATTGAAAACTAATGAAATTTGATTTTTCAGCGATAATGGTATTATTACTCGTATTGTTTGCTTTCAATACTTTGCCGGTTGTTTACATATTCAGTTTTCTAAAGAAATCAACGAGTACTGTTATAACAATGTTGAGTCTTTTGCCACTTGGAGCTAGTGAGTTAAAAAGAAATATTTCATTAATATAGCAAAATTAAATTCTGTAATTGTAAAAATAATGAAAAAAAATAATTGTTTTACATTTTCAGTTGCAATGGAATTAATTCTTCATATACTGATGTTAAACATAAAGGAAATGAAATTTATTGAAGTTTTACGAGGAATGCAAAAGAAAATTTTCTTAATGATTCCATACATAAGTTTCTTCCATGGTCAGCTCAGTTTCTTTGAGACGGCAGGTCACAATGCTCAATGTCGTCGAGCGCCACCACAATTTTTAGATATTGCTTGTATGTTGCAAAGCAAATGTTGTGGTAAGGAAAAAAATTTATTTCAAATTATAATTTAGTATCTGTTTATTGCAATTTTAAAGGATTCTTTTTTTTTAAACTAAAAAATAGTTTTATTAATTTATAATACTTAAATAAATGAACTATTCAATTTTTTTTTTAATATTGTAATAATATATTATTTTGCTTCAATTTTTAGGTCTCAATTGTCACGATGGAAAATGTGAAAAGTCCTTACCATATTTTCCCGATTTTAATGACGACATAAATCTTGCCGAAAGTGTGCTATATATGAGTTTAACTCCGATTTTTTACTTTACAATTCTTGGATTGCTTGAGCACAAAATAATTCCTTTAATATTAATGAAAATTCAAAGAAATCAGCCAAAAAGCAAGATCGATGATATGGATGATCAAGTGAAGAAAGAAAAATTATCAGTCGCTTTTGAACTCAGTAAATTAAAAACGCAGAGTAAGTTTAAGGATAAAAATTCAGTAATTCAATTTTTTTTTAGAATAAAACTTAATTTGATATTCTAGTAGAATATCAAAAATATTCACATAAATTTATTTAATTATTCTAAATTTAAATGTTTCTTTTAAAAATAATTTCTATGTATCTAAATTTTATCTAATTTATTTTTTATATAAATGTTTAATATAATTTTAATTTTAATTTAAATTGTTTTAATATTAATTTTTTTAGGTGATCCTGCAAAAATACAAGGCAGTATGGAGAAGATGAATTCGAGTCTAGAAAATTCTGAATCCGATAATGATGCTATTTACTTAGTTTATGAATTAAGTAAATTTTACGGTCTTTTACCGGCCGTCAAAGAAATCAATTTTTCCGTTAAAAGAAGTGAATGTTTTGGATTATTAGGTGTAAATGGTGCTGGAAAAAGTACGACTTTCAGAATGTTAACAGGCGAAGAATTTCCAAATAGTGGCGTCATGTATTTAAGCAAAAATGAAATTTACAGTAACAGAAAAGAGGTATTCAGTGTTTTTTTAAAAATCAATTGCAATATTTACTTAACTTTTATATAATTTAAAAATTAAAATAATGTAAATATTTAATTTTTGAAAAATTTAATTTTAATAACTAAATATTTAAAAGGTTCAGTAATATATTTTTTTCCTGTATTTAGTATCTTGCACAAATGGGATATTGTCCACAAACTTCAGCGCTGATAGCTTCATTGAATGCTAGAGATCATTTAAAACTCTTCGCGCTACTTCGAGGAGTTCCTAAAAGACAAGTGACCTTAGAAGTCGAAAAGTGGATCAATAGACTAAGTAAGAATACACATGAATTATTATTATTATTTTTTTTTATTTCTATGTACAGTTTATTTTCTCGATTTCTTATGTTTTTGTGTTAATGTTCTCAATTTCTAAGTTTTTTTTTTTTCAATTTTTGATTTTTAATAATTCTTATGTGTGTGGGTGTATTTTTTTAAGAGATTCAATTAATATTTTATTCATGAAGACTAAGAGAATGATTATTTTGTTTTTAGATTTAAATCTTTGTGCAGCTCAACCAAGTAGTGCATATAGTGGAGGAAACAAACGACGTTTAAATATTGCAATTGCTCTTATTGGTAATCCAAATCTTGTTTTATTGGATGAACCAACAACGGGAGTTGATCCAGCAGCTCGTAGATCTCTTTGGCATGTGATAAAGTCTTGTCAATTGGCAGGGCAATCAATTATTCTTACGTCTCATAGGTGAAATTAAAAAAAAAACTTTTAATTAAATAAAATAAAAATAGATAAAAAATAAATAATAAAATAACATTTTATTAATTTTTGTTTTTAGTATGGAAGAATGTGAAGCTCTTTGTAATCGACTAGTCATTATGGTAAAAGGTCAATTCGTTTGTGTTGGTCAAAGTCAACAATTAAAACAACGTTTTGGTGCTGGATATGATATAAATTTAAAATTAAATCCAGAAAGAAGTAATAACGATGTGGAAAAAATAAAAAGTTATTTGGAAAGTTCACTTGAATGTGAACTTCGCGATGAACATGTAGTAAGTAATAAAAATTATTTCCCCTTTAAATTTAAAATTAAAAAAAAAAAGTTTTCTGTTATTATAATTTATATTTTATTTAATTTTACATTTATTTATGCAATCATGGATTTGATATATTTCAAAAAAAAAAAAAATCGTAAAATATGTATTTAAATTATTTTTATTTTTAAAAATTAATAATTAAGTAAAATAATTCATTGACTGTTAAGTAAAAAAAAATTTTAATCATTTTCAGGGCTATATAACGTATCACGTTACCAATTCAAAGACAACGTGGAAAACAATGTATCATTTTATGGAAGTCCTCAAAGAGACGTACGAATGCATAGAAGATTTCACAGTATTATCAGCAACTTTGGAACAATTATTTTTACAATTCGCTAGGGGTTAAACAGTATTACTGTTATATTAACAAAATTGATAAAAATCGAAAAGGTATAAGCTTTAAAACTAGAAGATAAAAAATCCTCTACTTAAATATTTTGTATAAAAAAAATATATCCGTCTTTTTATCATAAATTGTTTATGTATTCTCTTTTATTTAATTTTGTTACATATTTATCAAAATTTATAATGAACAAACTTTCTATAATTGTATTTTTGTAAATTTCTAGGAAATTTAAAAATTTGTTAAAATTAATTAAAAAATTTTGTTAATCTAAATACGGAACTAGAATTCGAAATATGTATATAGATATTTATATAATATATTTCTTATTTTGTTGTAAGAATAAGTGTTTTTATACTGAAAAAAGGATATAGAGAAATATCCATTAAATCATAATTACTCATTTATCGAACAAATATAATTTTTTTTAATAATCATTCTTCATATATACTAATTTGAAAATTTTGAAACAATACTCTACATTTCAGTTATTGTAATTTCGTTTCAAAAAAAAAAAAAAATTGTATAGTTTTCATAAATAAAAAATCAAAGTTGAAGTTTGATAGAAAGAGAGAATGAGAAACAATGAAAGAGAGATAAAAAAAAAGAATGAATAGAAATAAAGAGAAAAAGTATAGCAAATTCAAAAAATTTGAAAAAAGGGTTAAATAATATTTACTATCTTTATAAGTGTGAATTAATATCGAAAACTTTTGTAATTAATATAAGCACGGTATTGTAGTTTTTAATGGCTTTAATATTTATCATATACCACTGTCTTTGATAAATTATAAAATAATGTAATACATTTTTATATTTTAGTACATAATGTAGTAAATATCACCACTTTGTATAAAGGGAAAATTATACAAATATTTTTGTCTTATAATTAAACAAATTTTTTATAAAAGAAAGAAAAACTTATCCCTATTAATAATTTAATAATCTAACTTAATTAATTTAAACTGGAAATTATGTTTAATTAATTAATTATTAAGTGAAGATTAAATTTAATAAATTTTAAATTAATTATCTATTAATTAAACATTACTTTAATTAATATAAAATGGCTTTTTGAGAATTTTATTGTTATGTTATTCTAGCGCTATTTAAAAATATTGCATTATAGCCATTGGTAAAGTTTCAAAAAAAAATTTTGTTTTTATCAAATTCTTGATTTATTAACTATTTACTTGTAAAATAATTGAATAAAAATTCCCTTTTTCAAAAGTTTATATAAATCAACATTAATTTTATTTTTTAACGTGAGATTAATTTTTTTAAATATTTCACCATTAGTAGTAAATAAAAATTTTATTATCTGATATTTTTTTAAATTCAAATATTTTACCTGTTTATTGTAGATGACCAATTGGAATGAGAATTCCAGTCGGTAAGATGAAAAAAAATTCTATAACTGACGTAAGATGGTAGCATCGAAGATTTCAATTTCCCGCTAATAATGCACTCAGCCAATCAGAGCACACATGCCTTTACTCATTCTCTTCCTGTCGCAACCTGTACAAAGTTGATGTCGCTGGCATTTTTCTCCTAAAAATGGTAAGTTTCTTGAAAATATTTTTGTCTCAGTTGTTTCTCGAGACGATATAATTTCTAAAAAAAAACAATGTTGGTTTTTTTCACTGAACTAAAATGGTTTTGTTCTTTGCTTTATTTAAAAAAAAAGAATTTGAGGTTAAGTAGGTATTTTCTGAAAAATAGTAACAGTGTTTAAATGGCAATAAAGATTAATATTTAGTTAGTAATTAAGATAATGGGTAATTTTTTTCCTACAATAAAAATTTATAATAAAAATAATAATAATAATTAATTGATTTACAATAATATTTAAAATTTCCTCTATGGAAAATTATGAAATTAATTTAACTTCCTTTTATTTATCAACTTTTTCATTTTTAATGTATTAAATAATGGAATAAAATTAATTTTCTTTTATTTATTATGAGATATTTGAAATTTTTTATGATCTTAATAAATGAGTGAATTAAATTTTTTTTAAAATTTTCCCGCTTATTTGAAACGACGAATAAGAATACGTATTCTAATCGATAATGCAGGGAATTAATTTGTAAGTTTTGTATATGGACGGTAGAGGTCAGGGAAAAATATTTTAACTTTACCGCCATTATTGTATTTGACCAACCAGAGCATTTCATTTCTTCATGTAATTTTCTTGACGAAAATTTTGCTATGTTGATGGCGTCGCCTCTTATTTTGTACATTTTTCTGCTAAAAAATGGTAAGTTTCTTGATAAATCTTTTTGTCTTGGCTATTACTTCATTAGAGTGATATCATATTTTATAAAAAGAATACAATTAGGTAGTGAATCATCGACAATGTTCAACGTATTCTTCGTTTGTTGGAATAACATTTTTCTCCATTTGTAGCACATGTTCTCTAAAGTGAAAAATTAGAAAAATTTCTTGGAAATTCTCATATTTAAAGAAATGTGTTGTAGTTTTATCAGATGATTATAATATAGTAAATGGTATTTATAGGTTAGGGCTCTTGTTGATAAAGTTTGTTACCATGCTAATTTGCCATTCATAACAATAAAATTTGTTATAAAATGTCGGCGATAAAAATGTGTTGATTTTTTCTTTCATTATTTTGAGATTTTTTTTGTTCTCTTTTTTCAGCTCGCCATATACTTGGTGGAGAATCCAGTCCCTATAGCAAGAAGATAAATTCAATTCATTTCATATCCGGTCTCCTTGCAAAAAGTTATTTTCAAAATTTATTAAAATTTGTAATCTAACCTAGAGGAGGGATCTCCGGAGAAAAATGGTTTGAAAATTATCATACTACGACTGGGGTCATCTTTGGTGAAGAAAATTCATTAGAATTGTGAGTATTAATTTAATAAAATAGGTTTTTAAATATATAAATTTTGATATCAAATGATAATTAACTGGTTGATATTTACATTGTAATATTATTTTTAACTGTTAACTTTTTTTTCTAAAGAAAAATAATGGGTGTCAGGTGATTTAAATTTAATGAATAATTTAATCTATAATTTATAAAGTTTTCTTTTTAAAATAGTTAAATTTTTTTTCTAAAATACAATTTAGGATTAGGATATTAAAAAAACGTAAAAATTTTAACAATTACAACAAATATTTATTTACTTGAATCAAATAATTTGTATTTGCATCAAAAACATGTATTTGAACCATTAATTTCTATAATATTTAAATGACTCAAATAATTATAGTTGCTGATCTTGATGTGTTTTTTTTGCATCAGTATTTTAATTGATTACTAAAATTATATAGGATTTATTATTGTATAATTAGTTTTTTTTTAAAAATAGTTTATTAAACTTTTTTATTATTATTGTTAGTTAAATTTTTTTACTTGGTGCCACTAAGACTAGTAATTAAATTAAATAATTAAAAGAAATTGATGGAAAATAATTAAATTAAAAAAGTTGTATTTTAAAGTACGTATCTTTCTTTTAAAAAAAGTAGTAAAAATTTGATTAAATTTAACCTAAATTGTTTTATAAATTTTCTGAATTTATTCTTTTAATGAGAAATCATTCATTTTAATAATATATTAATTAAATTTTTGTTTTAGGGTTTAGTAGTGTTCTATGTGATGTATGAGGAATTGGAGTTTTCATACCGAAGATTTGTGAGTGCATTTATCGCTGCAAGATTTGTTTGGATCATTGGGAAGAATTCTTATTGTGAATTTTTGATTTTCAACTGAGGCATATTGAGAGGTGACTTCCCCGTTCTTCGCTGACAGGTTCTGAGGAAATAGGAACAACGAATCATATCGCGTCGACGTAGATAATCCGCGATTGGTAAGTCCCTCTTGTCTCTAGTATTGTGGCGGAGGCAAGTTGTAACATTTTTTTTGAAAATTTCCTAGTGACAACTAATTGAAATTAAATAGGTATTAATTAATTATTATTAATCAGTTAATAATAATTAATTACTATTAATTAAATTAAATATTTTGAATAATATATTTTTTCAATTAGAAAGTGAATTCATGTTATTTAATATGTTTCTTAGTGTTAGGATTTTATTTTTCTTGGTACTCACGGACAATATATCACTAATTGAAATTTAAGAATTTAAGTTTATTTTTTATTCAAATATAATTTTTTAATAATTGTAGAATATTTTTAATAACTTTTAATAATTATGAAATTATTAATTAAGAACTTTAAATATAAATTTTTCTTTTATTATAGAAATTCGTTTCTTTTAGAGACCAAGAAAAATTATGAAATATATTTTTTATTTTCAATTATGTACATTATGAATTTAATTTTAGTATATTACATTTTTGTAATTTAATTATTAAGATTTTTTCACTTTTTATCATTCACTGTCTATTAATTGAAAAATAATAAATAAATGTTTATAAAATGTAAAAGTCTATAAAAATATAAAATAAGTAACAAGTCTATAGTGAAAGAATAATCAAATTAGTGCAGGATATTAACAATATTTTTCTTTCAGGTAAAAGGTACTGTGCAATTTTCTCTTTTATTAAGAGCCAATTATTTTCGAATGATTGGTTTTTAATATTTTTTATTCACTTTGTCACTATGGGATTTTCCTCCTTATACTTCCACATACAATTTATTTGTATTCTCTAATGAAATTGTATTGATTTGATATTAATTGTTCTATATGTATTTTTGGGGGGGGAGGGGGGATTGAAAACATTCTCTTATCTTATACACAAGATTGAATATTTTTTAGCTTAATTATAATTGATAATTAAATTATGATTTTTATCTATTATTAATTTTATGATAAAATGAAAAATCTTTTTTTGAAGACGCGAATGTTCTTGTCCTTCATTTACAGCTTTAGTATTGCAATATTTTTCTTTAATCGCAATTCGGTTTAAAATTTTTGTGAAAATTGACTTGAGATTTTTGAAGACAGTGAAAGTTTTAGAGTTTTAGTGTTTAAAGTATAGAAAGAATTTAGTGAATAATCGTAAGTAAAATCAATAAAATAAAAAGTAAGGTCTGTCAAAAAAAGTTTAGTTGCTTAATTTTTACAGCAAGTTTAATTGTAAATATTTTCAGATAAACAGAGGGTTTTTTATCATATCAGGATAAAGGCAATTTGTGAATTTCTGCCTTAACAAAAAGGTGTGTTTTCAGTTTTAAATTTAATTTTTTTTTTTGTATTTTCAAAATAATAGCTGTCTCTTGAAATGTTGCAATCTTAAAAAATATTATTAGAAACAAAAACACTAATTTTATTTATTTACACAATTTATTTTCAAATTCGTAACAGACTAGTTGATACTTAAATTACGTGATTATATTCTAAAAAAAAATAACAATTTTTTTTTAAAAAGAAACAATTATTTAATTTCTTTTATAATAAAAATAACAAAATTCCTTATTTAATTTCAAACTCGTGAGATAAAAAAAAAAAAAAGAAATTTAATTATAAACTGTCCCCAAACATGAATTTTTATTTAAACGTAGAAATAAATTAGGTTTTTATTTTCTTCATTCTTGATTATTGTATTCTTTTTGATACAATGAATTTTTATTTACAAAAAAATTTACAAACAATACTCAATATACTCTCGATTGCAATATCGCCTTCTGCAATAGAGATGAGAATGTTGCATTAACTTCTTGACACAATATCTCGGCAGATTTATCTCCCAATGCTGCTTGTGCAGAACTAACACGTCCCAATTGAAGTAACAAACCCGTCGTATCCTCGGCTAATGGCGGGAATGCCAAACAAATGCGAGTTAATGCTGACAATACAGGCATAAAAAGAACAACTCTGTCCTTGGCTGGTAAAACTCCCAATAAAGTAATCAAGGTATTAATTGCCAATCGCGAAACACTCAATGCTTTTGGAAGTGCATATTGAACAGCCAAATGCGAAGCTAAATCAACAGCAAATACTTGTTTCTCGGGTTCTGGTTGCGAAAGTAATTCCGGGATCCAATCCAAGCAAATATGCATTGATGGAATTCCAGAAACTGTGATTGGTAAAAGTTCTCTTGGATAACCCTAAAATATTGATAGCAAAAAAAAAAAAAAAAAAAATTACATTTTTTTAGTTACAAATTTTAATTTCATTATTTCTCGATTAGATGAATTTTAATTGATTTCAAAATTATTCTTTAAAAATTGAATTTTTTAAATAATTGAAAATACCTACTTGAAAATGAACTAATTTCGCTAATGATGGATCGGCTATGAAAATTTGATGTAAATAGGAACAAATGACACTTCTTATTTCTCGTAGAGACCACATTTGCCCTGGAATAATTCGATCTTCTTCTGTTTCTAAACATGCCTCTAAGAGAATTTGAACAGCTGCACTTTCTTGACCGGCAACCAAAGCCGTTCTCAAATCTTCCCGTTCAGCTTCACTTGTTAATTGACCTATTTTTTCTGTCAGCGGTCGGTCCTGCATATGCCTCGAAAGTTGTGATCTCGATGCTGCCAGAGTCGCTTGCAGAATTCTGAAAATTAAATAATTTCAAATTTTTTTTAATTTATTATTTATTTTTATTTAACTATTTTAAAAGAAATATTTTTTTAAATGAAAAATTCTATGAATTTTCGTCTCAAAGATAAATTTTTTTTTATAATTTTCTTTCTTAAAAAATAATTTGTTTTCTAATCGATGTTCATAAATGTTGTGGACTGTAGTATATATATTATCTTGAAAATGATAATTTTCATTACTTACCGAAGAATCACTGACAGAACTGGTGCGCATCGAAAAACTCTCGTATCACATCTTAAAACTTGTAATGGATCCAGGACAATATTTTCTTGTGTCAAAAAAACATTTTTCACTGTTGAATTTTCTATTAGTAGAGCATTTATCGACAAAACCCATAAACATCTCGGCAAAACTGTATTTAATCTCAGCCACACTTGTTTATATAATTCTGAAAATTTAATTTCAATAATTAAATATTTATTATATGATTAAATATACAAATTAATAATGAAATTATAAAATATTAAATTGTTTAAATTTGCAATAAATAAATAACAATATCAGGAGATGAAAATTCAGCTTGATTGAAATTTATTTGTGATTAATTAATTAATTAATTAATTAATTACATTTTGAAAATTGAGACTTTTAATTTTTAAATTCGGTGTAAATAATTTTATGACGATTTCTCACCTTGAATATACCTAGGCACTTTTTCATCGAGAATTGCTTTGAAGTAATGAATAATAATTGAAGCGTGGGGCCAAATATCGGAAGGTTTCATTGATAAAAGTTGTCGCAATAATCGTCCAGTTCTCGAGGGACATGTCTTTATATGTCCAAATGCCTCGATAATTGAGGCATCATTAATTGTCAATTTCTCTTGATTCGATGTTACTGAATTTATATTAATCATATCATCATCCAACCAATCATCCACCAATGATAAATGTGGAAAATGTGTTGCTAATAGTCGCAAAAGAGGTGAAAAAAGTCCAGCGTAACTTATTTGATCTCTTTGCACTTGTTGCAAAAGATATTTAATTGGTAGTTCAGACAAAAAATCAGTTGAATATGATTTGACTTTTTTTCCTTGCGATATAAAATGATGCATATTTGATAATCTCACATCTTCGTATAGCAGTAGATAGTATAAAAATAATAATTGTGACGTTAATGATGGTTTCGATGTATCAACATCCATATAATCAGTTTCCATTTCAACGATGCTCATGACACTTTTTTTCGAATCAAAATTTGCCCCAAAAACACTATTTTGAAATACTTTACGAATTTCGTCTTCGGTAATTGGTTTATTCGTATGATCCGATGCTTTATTATTGATTACTAAAATTGAATTCACATAAACTTCAACAAGCGCTGGTAAAACTGGATGTAAAGGTGGTACACTGTCGCAAATTTGACGATAAATCCATTTTTTAATTGGTACCTTGTGTTTGGCGAATGCTCGTGATTTGAGTAATTGATGAATACAATGAACGGGAAGAAAGCCAGGAATATTGGCATTAAGATTTGCAGTCACGGGAACTTTAACTGCATGTGCTGTAACAACTTGCTCGGTGAATATTTCTTGCATGAAAATTTGTTTCATTCGCGTGAGATTATTTGGTCTTATTGGAATTTTCATTCCAAGTGTTGCGCAAACTAATTCACATATTGCCGATAATTGATTACTGTGAAAATGAATGGCCATAAGTAGGAGCATTTCGCCAAAACTCGCTGACACGCCACTTGCACTTTCAAAATATGCTTCCTCACGTACTAGCCATTGGACCCATTCGATGCTTTTTTTCTCTAAATTTGTGTGACTTATTAGCGAGGGACATGCGATTAACATACATAATCCTAGAGAAACAAATCGTACACCAGCTGGTGATGGTGGTGGATGTGATGTTAATAGTTTAACGATCATTGAAATTTCATCGTCTTGAAATTTAATTCCACCAATTCCACGAAGAGCGCAATAGAGTCGTAAAAGTGCACTCGCTTGAACAACATGAGATTCGGCTAATTGTGAATCTGAACTGTGTGAAACAATATTTTGCAGTCTTCTCAATAATTCCTCGCGTAATGATTGTAGAGCAGTGTGTGATTCCCATTTTCGTTTTTGACCATTTCTAATGAACATGGCAATCCAATTTCTCACTTGTTGATCATTGCCGAGCAATAGACCAGAGACAAATGCAACCATATCACTTTGATATGGTGAATTGCTTATTGATTCGTTTTCAAGACTGAGAGTGATTGCAAGTGCTGGCATTCGACAGAGTTCAACGCATTTTGCACGAACGGCGAGTGCTTGACTGGGATTCATTCGACAGAGCATTGTCAATGCTTGCGTTCGAATACTTCCAAGATTTGATTCCTCTTGTCGTTCGCCATTCACAATGAGATGTGTACAAACTTCGGTAAAACTATCGGGACTGTTTGCAACAACCCAACAAATTATTTCGGGACCATGTTTCACGTGAAGAAGAGTTTCACAAATAACGGGAATCGATAGAAGATCGGGTAATTCAGCGAGTGCAATGCAAATAACGTAACTTATTTCTTCCATATAAACAGCATTGTCAAATAGATCGGATTGTTTTATTTGAAAGTCCTCATTTTTTTGTTGTTCACGAATTTGTGACGAAATAAAGAGAATTTCACTCAATACAAGACGAATACGTCGTGATGCTTCACTTCTTTCAAATTCAAGAGCCAGTCCACTTTGAAGTGATTGTGCTAGAATACTGTCACATTGACTGTTTCCTATTTTTTGCCTAAAAGAAAAATTTTTTTTTTTTTAAGTTTAAAAATTGATAATCGAATTTTTTTAATTATTAGAAAATTTAAATTACTTAAAATTATGATAACAAAAATAAAATAAATTTAGAAAGAAGAGTTTAGTTTGTATTTTATTAACGATTTGCTATTTTTTTTTCTCTATTTCATTAAATTATTTAATTTTAGTAAAAGAAAAATTTAATATTCAGAAAAAAATGTTTATTAATATAAAAATAATCATTTGTTATTATGTATTTTATTTAATATAATTAATGGTAGGATATTAATTTTTTTAATGACTTTGGTAATAATAGAAAATAATTAAAATTCATTTAAGCAAAATATAAAATAATTTGATACTTTAAGTTAACTTTTTCGAATTTAAATAAATATAGAACTTTTAAACAATAACGATAGTAATCATTTGTTTCTATTCTACTGTTTACAAAATCATACCTTAATTGTTGCTCTTTTCGAACATCAATTTCCAAACCATGGAAGTCAATTGACAGTAAACCAACTATTGAATTGACTGATTCAATTGCTGAAAGAATTGTCAAAATTTCTTTTCTTGCTTCGACACATTCTTTTGTTATATCAAGTGGTGAAATTAAACTCATTCTAACCAAGCATGGTAAAATTGGTCGTACCTCTTTCTCTGAGCACATTGCTAATTCTTTTGTATTTACATTTTGAATAGCGGAAAAAACACGCGGAATAACTGGAGACGGAGTTATCATTTTTTCTTTTTTTACTTGTTTACTAAAAAAAACAAAAAAAAAAAAAAAACTGAAGAACTAAAATTTTAATTAACACAAGTTTTCTTTTATACCGCTAATAATATCCAAGTTGACGTTTTATTTTCTATCGTGGCCGCGGCCATATTGAATTTTACTTCTCTGAGAGGTGCTGCCTCTGGCGGCAAATTTGAAAGTTAATTTTAATTTCTTTTAAATTTTACATCATTAAAAAAAAATTTTTTTTGAAATCATTATTAAAATGATTGATTATAAAGATAAGGATTTTTTTTTAAATGAAATATACATAACATAAGTTTAGTTTATGATTAAGAATTGATTATAAATAGGTTATGTATATTTCATGCAACCCGTCATACATCTTAGTATATAAAAAAGATAATTAGAATTATCTAACTTTAAATAAGAGAATTTTTTCTTATGATTTAATACAATAACTTAATAAAAAATATAAAGTAAATTACAATAACATAAATATATTTCATTCATGTTTATTTAACGTTTAAATACAGTAAATACAATATATATATATATATTTACATGGACGAAAGGTTTTTCAGCAAAGCGTATAGAATATATCCGAAAAAGTTTCAATACACCCCCAGTGGATAATTTATATCTACATTATATAACTAAATGCGTATATATATATATATATTCAAATTACATAAAATATTGACAGGAGATTTTTTGTGTATAATTGCGTCAAAAGTATAATATATTTACATGAGGCATGTAATTGATTTAATTGATAGTTGTAATTAATTAATAATAATAATAGTAAATAATTAATTATTAATAATATTAATGATTATTAATTAAATTAATTAAATAAAAAAGATTTATTTTAATTACTTATTAATAATTAATTGTTAATAATTAAATAATAATATAATAACTATCAATTGTTAATATAAATAATGATTCTAAATTTCTAATATAATTCTTCTACGTAAGAAGCCTTTGTTTCTTGATTAATTTTAATACAAATATATACTTTCTCGAGTTGATAATAATTAACGTACACAGAAAATTAAAAGGCATTAAAATAAGCTGCAACGCTTATTATTTTAATGCCTTTTAATTTTCTGTGTAGTTTTTTGGAAACTTAACAATTTCTTCATATAACAATAATGATATCTAATAATAATAATAATAATAATAATAATAAAGATAATATTAATAATATACATTTACAATATAAATTAACTGCAAAAATTCCTTCTTTGCATAAAAAAGTTTTTAATTAATAGTTAACTAATAATAATAATTATTATTATATCTTCAAACTTAACATTAAAATTTAAATTACAAATTCTTTTAAACAATTTATTAATTATTAACAATTTATTATTTTTAATCTCTGATTTAATTTAAATTGAATTTTGCATAAATATATTCATAATATATAATTCAATATTTATAATAATTAATTAGAATATTATATTAACGAAATAATAATACTAACAATTTTCACAGAATTGTATAAGATTCCTTGTTATCAGAAAATGTTTTATAATATATTTTTAAGCGTGATTATATAAAATTTTTCGTTTAATTGGATTACAATTGAAAGCATTTTTAATGTCCAACCAGTTAATGTTAAATATATATATAGTAGAATGTTTTATATAATAATTATTAAGATTACATATATCGCAGTTAAATAATATTGTTTTCGTCTCAACAATAATAACATTTTTTTTTTAATTCACTGGATTAAATAATTACCTATAAATGGATTTTTATGGATAATGTTATTGACTTATTCGAGATTATTATTGACTTTCTTGATGATATTATTATTTAATAAAACAAGTGTACTACAATTTTTTTTGTATACGTATACAGTATACTTGTATTATATGTTGTACACTGAAAAAAAAATTTATTTGATTCAAATACTCGATTACTTGAGTATTATCAATTAAATATTTATTTGAACCAAATAATTTTTATTTGAATTAAATAAATTGTATTTGAACCAATAATTTCTGTACTTGAAACAAATACCATTTAATTGACTCAAATAATAATTATTTGATACAAATAAATATTTATTTGATAATAGTCAAGTAATCCAGTATTTGAATAAAATGAATTTTTTTTTCAGTGTATTATGTAATAATACGGTAACAATATGTAATTATTATGTTGTATTATTATTAATCAAACTGATATTTCATATAATATTTGTAATTTAAACAATTAATTTTTAAACAATGTTTATATTAATAATTTCAATAATCATTATTTGAGTTAGTCACAATACTTTTTTTTTTTATTAGGCAGTTTTTGGTAAAATTCGAAAACATGAAAATCGTAAATTTGATAATTTTTTATACTTGTATATTATTATAATTAATCATTATTGATTATTTTATCATATTCATTCTTTCACAGAAAATTAAAAGACATTAAAATAAGCTGCAACGCTTATTATTTTAATGCCTTTTAATTTTCTGTGTTCTAGCGGTTATATTTTTATTAATCGTATATAGATATGTTTAGAGAACATTTTCTAAAGTTTACTACATTTTTCAAAATTAATTTAAAAATTTTTTTTTTCATTTTTCGTTGTGTAAGAGTTTAAATTAATTAAAAAATTAGCACCACGAGTCTTTTTAAAATTGTAAATTTTTAAAGAATTGTTGTGCTAATTCATTAATTTCTCAAAAAATTGGTATAATTGAAATTATTTTTTTTGTATATATATATATAATTATGTATAATATACAAATTATTTGTTTATCGATAAATTGTAATTTTTTAATATTGTATATAGTTATATATATGTATAATAATGCCTTAATTATTGTATGTTAATCAACAATTTATTTTTGTTGATAATAAAATACCACAAGTTATTTTATTTTTAACGCGTGCAAAAAATATTGGTAGCAAAAATAATTATCAATCATTTGGAAAAAGTTCAACAACATTTTTTATAAGAATTCTAAACTTATATAAGTCATTCGCTAAAACTAATTTTTTCGAAATAAAATAAATAGATACATATATTTTACCGAATTTTTATAGGGATATAATGATCACACTTATTAATTATTGTTCTTGGATTCATTCAAATTGTCTTGGCAATATATAATAATGTATAAGATTTTTTTTTTTTTTTTTTTTTAAATTTATTATATATACCACTTTGGCGTGTTTTGGTATATATAACATATATTTTAGAGGAGGACTTAATTTTCCTTGAGAATTTGTGTATTTATATATATGAAAATATCCATTTATGCGCGTGCAAAAAATATTCTTAGACAACAATATTCTATTTTTATAATATTATACAATACAGCAAATTTAAATAATCGTATAACGATTTAGGAAACTTGTTAAATTTAATTGTTATTCAACAATAAAAAATTAATAATCTTTTCCTGTTTTAATACTGTGTGTGTGTGTTTATTGAGATTTTGCTTTTTAAAGCACAAAATTTCCAAAAAGAAATTTCAAATTTACTAAAATGTTAATTATAATATTTCAATCTCAAATTTTCACTGCAGTCAATTTTTGTTAATTAGATAAAAAAAAAAAAAAAAATGTTATAAAATTATATAAAACAAAAAATATTAAAATATTTGGAAAAAATTGAAACTTCATTCTTACTTGTTATTTTATTTGAGAAACTTTTTCATTTGTTTCGTCTGATGTTGCATACTAAATTGGGCATTTTCCGCTTTATTAATGAGAGAATCTAATTTGTCAATGTGTGATCCAATTTTCTGATTAATGTCAACTTTTTTCTGTGACATTGAACTTGTTCTTCCACCCTCCTCTTGACTTGTATCATCTTCAAAATTCTCATTTTGTCCCGTTGTTTCGGTTTCTTGATTTTTTTCTTCAACTAATTCCCTCTCTTCTGAATTGCTTGTCTCTTTGGATTTACGTGTTTTGTGCTCAGGTGTGCCTGGTTGTGATTTTGAACGAACTTTTAACAGGGTCCCCAAACTTCCACATACTGTCTATAATTTCAAATTTAATTATTATTTATAAATAATTTGTCTCACAGACTAACAAATATTTATTTGATTTAAATAAAAAAATTACAAATATATATATACGTTTATTTAACTCAAATATATTATATTTGGTTCAAATGAAATATTCCTCTGGGTGTATCAATATTAAGATTATGAAAATTTATTAAATACATTTTTTAATCTACTGAAAGTATTAGGCATATTAATTATAATTACAATTAAATAAAATGCAATTACAATTTTTTAATATATAAATGTTAACTTGAATTTTTGAAAATAACTTTTTAACTGGAATTAGTCATTGCTTTTTATTACTTATAAAGCGAATTTATGAGAAAAGATTTTTTTTGATGATATGTAGAATTTATGTGAAGCTAGAAATGTAAATATCTAATTGATAAGATTTATTTGAAAAAATTAATTTTATGTAGAATCTTCTTTTTTTTTTTATTTTGAAATTCTTAAATTTTGTGTGATAATATTCAAGTTTTGTTTTATTTTAGTGAGAAGAAATTACCTTGAACCTGTTGATTTTTTTCTGTGTGGCAGAAAGAATACTATTTAATTCATCTAATCCACCACCTACCCGTTTCATGCTCTCATCCGTTTGATCCAATTCCTAATTAAAAATTCATATACAAAATAGAGAAAATTAGGTTTTATGAAAATAATCACACAAAATGAAATTTAATTTTTTTTTAAATGCAATTTATAATTTTTTTTATTTTATTTTCGTTATTAATAGTCTTTTAATAATATAATAATATATCAAATGAAATTAAATTTTCGATGAATGAAAATTTTGATATAATTTTCATTAAATATTTATTATAATTTTATGTTGAATTTTGTTTGAAACTTTTTTTTTTTTATATCTTGGACATTTTTCTTTGATATTATTAATTAAAAAAGTATTTTACCTGAGCTTTTGCATCGTCTAAATTTTCTTCCTCCACGTTATTTCTTTTTTGAGCCTCTTCACTATTGGCCCATTCCTCTTCAGATGGGGTTGGTAATCCAAGTAATTCTGCTCGCTGACAAGCATATTGATAATCCTCGGACATATTATAAATTTGATGAATTAATAATTATAGATGATAATATAGAATTTTTTTTCCAGACGAACAATTTAAGAGCACACCTTTTTGAATTTCTTTAAATTAGCACTGAACGGCAATTGAGAATGAATCCATATTGAAGTCGCTTTTGCGCAAACTCTCAAAGAAAACGTGCTTACGCACAGATTCAATACCAATAATCTACTTAATCGAGCTGATATGGTGAAATTTATAAGATTTCAGACATACTAGTGAAAACCTATAAAAAAAAACTGTATAGGTATATATAGAAAAATTTAATGCACTTTTAAAATTTAAGAATTTTTAATTGAAAAATCAGTTTTATTATTTGAATTTTTATTATCGTTTATATAAATCCAAAAAAATGTTACTTTGAATTAAAGAATTATTTCTTTGATATAGGGTAAGAGAAATTTTTTCTTTAATTTAGAGAAAATTTATTTGATTTAAAGAAAATTTTTTTATTATAAATAAAACTTTGTTTGAAATTGAAAATCTTTATATATGATGTATTCCACGCCAAAGTGTAAGTCCATCTGCAATTGCATCTCCGATTTTTTTGAGATTTTTTTTTCTTTAAGTACTAATTGAGACTAGTTTCCATGAATTTTTTCAAATTTTTTTAGCAAGCCGTTTTCGAGTTATGGAATTTTCAAAATTGGAGAATTTTTATGACTTTTAATTTTTGAATGCTCATAACTTTCTTAAAAATGCATCAATTTTAAAAGTCTTTTTTTTCAAAATGTGTGTTTTTAAACGTACTTTTCAACAAAAAAATCGAAAAATTTTTTAAACGATATTACTATCAAATTTTTGAGTTTTAATGATAAAAAGTCATTTTTCTCATTTGACGTACTGATCAATTTTTTTCAAAATTAAAAAAAAAAAAACTACTTCTTTTTACGAAATTTTTAAGCCTAGCCCGATAATGTGCAAACAATTTTTACAATATTTTCGGAATTTTTCAAAAATTTTTGAATTTTGAAAAAAAATGACTTTTAAAATTGATGCATTTTTAAGGAAGTTATGAGCATTTAAAAATTAAAAGTCATAAAAATTCTCCAATTTTCAAAATTCCATAACTCGAAAACGGCTTGCTAAAAAAATTTGAAAAAATTCATGGAAGCTAGTCTCAATTAGTACTTAAAGAAAAAAAAATCGGAGATGCAATTGCAGATGGACCACTTTGGCGTGGAATACATCCTATATTAAACAAATTTTTTTTAAATCAAATAAATTTTTTAGAAATTAAAGAAAATTTTTCTTTGACCATAAATATCAAAGAAATATTACTTTGATTCAAAGAAACATTTTTCTGGGTGTATATTTATTTTTTAATTGGATTATAATTTGCTCTCTCAAGTTATTTGTCGTATGGACTATTTAATAATGAAAAATCTTTGAATCAAAGAAATTTATCTATTGCTTTAATAATATTTATTATTAATTAAAAAACTTTGATTCATAAAAATTACTTATACTTTGAATAAAATAGGAAATTTCTAATTCAAGAAAATAAATTTTTGATTAATTTTTTAAAAAATAATAAAGCAATAAATAATTTCTATTTATCAAATCAATTTCTTTTGTACATAGACTTTAAAATATATAGTCAAAAAATATATTCAATTTTATTAAAGAAAAATCATTTCTGGTTTTGTCACTTTTATATTCTTTTGTTCAAATAAACCGTAAACTTTTTACTGTTTAATCTCATTTTAAATAAAAAATTAATAGAATTTTATGTATAACGGGATATAAAGAAAAACTTTTGAGATATAAAATCTTTTTTTTACTGCGTTTCTAAATAGGTGCGTAAAAACCGTTTTATAATGAATAAATTGACATTAAAGTTGAAAACGAGAGACAAGGGAAAACGCGGGTCAACGCGTATTGAATAAAAAAAAAAAAAAGATTGTACAATTTGCGTACAAAATTATGTGGGTAAATCGCATTTATCGATTTTTTTTTTCATTTAGTATAAAGTGACAATTTATCTGCAAATTCTAGTACATTTCAGGAAAAGTAAAGTTCATCGTCACTTTATACACACTATATAAGTATATACATACTTTGTCGCAGTTGATGTTTGTATATTCAATTCTGATTTTCAAACATGCGTCATAAACAATTGCGTAAAAAGCGACCTAGAATCTCAAAAAAAAAAAGTTGCGTAGACATTAAAAATTACTTTCTTTGCTTTTTCATTTATCACATATCTTTTATAGAAATTTTCTCTTTAGATGTCATCTGAGGGGATATTCTGAAATCGATTTTTTCTATATTTTTACATTTTGACAATTTAAATATTTTTATATAGGGTCAGTTGGTGTAAATGGGGACAAGAGGTTTTGGAGCTTAATTTACAGTTTTAAAATTAAGTTCAACATCAATATTTTAACCTCAGATCACCTGCAAGAGGTTTTGAGTATTGCCAAGCTTTTATCTTGACAATTGACAGCAAGATAAAAAAAGTTATCGCTCAATGCATAAAAACTTGAAAATCAAAGTCAAATTGTTTCAGTATTTTGTCGAGCATTTCAAAGAAAACAGACTTAAAAATCATATCAAATTTTTTTCTTATTCCTTATGACTCCTATAATAGAAATTCACTTGAATTTTTCATTTTTGTCAATTTGGTTAATAATGACAAGCTGTCACCATTTACCCTGAGTTTTCAAATTTTTGGGGTAAATAGGGACAGCTTGTCATTATTAACCAAATTCACAAAAATCAAAAATTCAAGTGAATTTCTGTTATGGGAGTCATAAGGAATAAGAAAAAAATTTGTCATGATTTTTAAGTCTGTTTTTTTTTCAAATGCGAGACAAAATACTGAAATGAAAAAAAAATAAAAAAATTTCAATTGGTTCAACTATTATATATCTACTACAAATTTTTTTTCAAGTTTTTTCATCCCTTAATACAGTAATATATTTAAAAAAACTTTTTTCTTAAAACTTTCTTAGAAACTATGCTGTCCCCATTTACCTCGAATTTTATGAAATTTTCTAAATTTTAGCACAGAAAAAACTTGGACTCATTTTTGTTGCAACTCATTTTCTTTTGGGTATCGAAATGAGTATGGGACAAACTTCATGTTATTCAAAATGATATTGGCTGGAATTTCAGATTTCTAAGTTGGCATCATAAGCAGAGTAATTTTGTATTTCAATTATTGTTTCTAATATTTCAACAACACCAGAAAGATTATTTTGACCAGTACGAATATTTAGAAGTTTTTAAATAAAAATTATTTATTATTATTTACGTAGATAATAATTAATTTCATAAGTTTTTAAATTTACCGCTATTATTTAAGTTGGCAGTACCGTTCCTGTTGTCAAAACACATGTTTTCATTTTTCTAACCTAAAAACATATTTCCTTTATTATTTTATTACGCGATTACAAGCAATTTTTAATCAAATATATTAAGTCTAGCGTGTTATTTACTTCTTTGTAATTATTATATTTCATGTTTTTGTGCAAAATTATTCGTTATTTCACAATATTTTTCCATTTTTCTTTTTCTCAAAATGAAACTTGCCTGTTTCATTTTGATACTTTTACCTTAGAACTCGAAATGAAACAATCAGTTTCATTTTTGTTGCGAATCAAATTGAGTATAGAATCTATACTCAATTTGAATTCAGGTTTTTTCTGTGAGGGTAAATGAGGACAGTCAGTTTCAAGCCTTTAAAGCTTATCTAAATTTTTTTCTGCTGCATAAAATTAATCCTGGGAACGTAAATAACAACTTAAAAAAAAAACCGCAAATATTAACTTTTAAAGGAAGAAACTTACGTAATTTGTGAAAAATATCAATTTTGTTCCCATTTACCCCAACTGACCCTATTTAAGAATTAGAATTAATTTAACTCAAATTGATAATAAAAGATATTTAAAAATTCATTAATATTTCTTAATTTAAAGAGGTAATTAAATATTAAAATTAAGGAATTTTTCAGTAAATTTTAAAACTCAGAAAAAAATTTCTTTGATTCATGCAAATAAATGAATTTGCTATTTCAGGAAATTTAATGTGTTTAATTAATAATTATTAATTAATTAATAATAATTATTATTTCGTGTTATCTAACTTTTTATTGAATAGACAAAAAGTTTATTTGTCTCATTCAAATTCTTTCTTTTTTTTGAAAAATTTATTAAAATAAACCAAACGTTTATTAATTTGATTATAAGTAGAGATGCGTGTTTAAATAGAACTTACAGCTTGATGAAAAATTTTTATGTATGAAAATTGTATTTTGATATTGATATAACTTACTTAAATGTTTATTTTCGTTAATTATTTTTATAATTTATTAAAGAATAATTAATTGACATTCAACATTGAATAATTGTGTTTTGAATCACTTTTTCTTTTTAATTTATAATATTTGTATCCAACAGGGATTTTACAAAAATCACAAAAAATTTTGAAAAGTATTTTAATTTGCGTTGTGACTAAATTGTCATAATTTTTAGATTAATTTTTTCAGCTTTATTAATAATATTAGCAGATTATTATAGTTAATTATCGATTGCATTGCGAATTATTTTCTAATTTTGAAAAATATTTTAATTTTCGCCGTTATATCAATTTCAAAATCTAAACATTGAACGCGATCGCTGAGAGTAGACCAACTTCAAGTTAGAAGCAAGTACAGTTTTAACCTGAAAATAATGTGCAATTTTTAATCGCCTATATCTCCTAAAATAGTTTTGGAACCAAAACGGAATTTATGGTGCGCGTAGATTTCGATCCTATTTAGCTGCTGTGCAAGTGCCAATTTTTTTTATTTTTCTTTAACGGAGATATTCAGTTGCAATGTTCGCAAAAATGCAGAAATTGCGAACTTTCAACTCAATATTTCTTTTATATTTAGTATGAAAATATAGAAAGTGCCAAGAAAATTTTAATGTCCTATCCATTTACTTCATATTAGGTAAGTTCAAATTTAATTTAATAATTCCACTTAATTGTAATTAACTGATAAAAATCGAAAAATTAGGTTATTTGACAGACTAACTTTAAAGACATATTTTATCCATTATTTTAATTTTTTCTCTAATTTAATCATTAGAAAATAATAAATCAATTCATTCTAAACAAGAAACAATAATTCATTTTACCTATTTAACAATTATTATATCTTTTTTTATATATTTTATAATTGTCAAAAAAGTGACAGTTTTCCGGACCTTCCCCACTTTAAACTCATATTTTGAGAAA